AAAGTCACGAGTAGAAAAGCAGAAGGACCTGACAATCCCGACCGTAGCTTTTACCTCGACGCGGTGGTCGGGCTTGCCTATCGTGATGACCCAACCTAGCTATATTGGCTGGAACATATTTTCCTGTAGGTTCTAGCATGCCAGGCAGATCGATTGGAGAACGGTAAGACTAAAAGCAGCAACTCAAGGTCTGAGGGCGAAGTCGTACTGCTGACTGTAGAGGGGTGTGACAGCAGTAAGGTGTCTCCCTCGGAAAACCAGCATCTACAGCGATGCTGCCTTCTCACAAGGAAGGTGGTTAGAAAAGGTCGACCCCAAAAATATAACACTTCACCCTACCTCACGGATTTCCGTCTCCGGCGGTAAGGCCCTTCGAAGAACGGAGCTAACACATTAAAAACCTTCCACGAAAAGGCTGTGCGCGATCGGCCCCAAGCAGTTGTCCCTTGGGCTCTGCGGTCACGCTCCCAGGTCGTTAAAAACAACACTAATCCGATTTCTTTTTCAGGTTCCTCAAGAAATACCCTTCCACGGTGTGGGCAGCCGGGAAGTGATATCAGCCCTCATACCCGTAACAGCACACGAGACCAAGTTGGTCACATTCAAAGTGGACTGAGCCATATTGGCAGGACAACTCAGAACACGTCAGGCAAGTTCAAAAGGCCCAAAACTTGAATAACCTCAGAAATATTCAGTATGTCACTTGATCAAGGTGTGTTACCTACGGACTAGAAGGATGAAACTGTCTCTTTAGTAAATAAAACAGCATCAAGACAACTTCCATTAAACTACGAACTTGTCCATCCATTCAATTGACTCATTGAAAAGGAAATTAGACACTCACAGAAACGTACCGGAAAAAGGCTAAGGCAGAATGTAGGTCTGCTCCAAATACAAAATTCTGAATCCAATATCCCACTGAATCTACTATCAGAAAAGTGCCTACACTTTTAGATGTTGCTTTTAAAATTCATCAGATACATAACATAAGGATAAATGAGCATAAATTACTTATCTTGAGGGACTTCTGTCTCCAAAGTACAAAATGTGGGTTAGTGGTTTAGTTGGGAGTAGTGTCCCCAAATGTTATCACACTACCGCGCAAAATCACCTACTAAAGAAAATAAATATCCGAAAAGGAAGTTCAGCCATAAAGTGATTTGTATTTCGCAACAAAAAGACCTTTTTAACAACAAGGTCCTCAAGCTGAACGTACCTGAAAACCTAAGGAAACAATCACGGTTCGTGGTGATTCTCTCATTATCATGAACCTTAAAGACAGCCTTAACCTTCCCCTCAGCTTGCAGGACAAAAATGACAGGACGCTCTTAGAAGAATCAAACAAGATGCTTGAACTTCCCAAAATAGAGCCTCTGATAGCCTCACGACCCACTTAGGAAAAGAAATCCAAGCGTCAAATTCACCCAAGACTACTTCATGTGACGCTACCGACGTAGAGGACATCTCACCGGCTAGTTATTTACTGAAATGAGATGAAAATATGAGAATGCTATCTGATATATCGTATTCTGAGCTCAATCTCATTCGGAAGATTCCTGAGGAATCGCACGAGAGGTATTTCCACGGAAGACATATCATTGTGCAAGGTGTATCGGAAAACACTTAATCCGACCACGCAAACTAATATTTGGGAGTGGAAGTTCATCAAGCAGTCTTTGAAGCTCAAAAATATATTGGCTCAACAAGCAACGAGACTAGTCAAGAACGAAGGGGATTTTAGACCCCGGCCGATGAAGATTATCTTTTGATCCCACCACATAGCGGCTGCAACCCACGAAGCATTTTTTGCCAACAGAAGCCGGCTGCCAAGTGGAATACATATGCATCCAGCTAGGACACATGATGCTAGGATCAAGCACAAAGGCAAGTTGTAGCTGACTATTCCACTTTTGGACTGTCAAGAACACAGAAGAAGCGTGGAAGGGATAGGATATACCAACTGCGAAAGTCTTGTGTTGGTAGGTTACCCGTCCACTCACATAACGCTCAAACAGATAAACAGGACCAGGAAGCTCATGCGTTTCAAATTGAAGGCACAAACAGCGCCGCGAGTTTACCTAATAAAGTGGATGAGCTATGTGAACTCAGTAATGCTAAGAATGTTCATCTGAAACATGGATATCTCAATTTACGGACCAGGAGCTAGCAGTATCCGGGATGCCTTTGTTTCGCAAAAAAAGAAAAACGAGAATTGCGAGCGGAGTGGTCTTATTCCTACGAACTTACGTAGAGGTACATCTAGTACACAACCAAGAGTTTATCAGTCTTGATGGCTCCATATGGTCCTCAGTAAGATCATCTACAAACTCGAGGTGTCTAGTTGGAGTCATCTACTGGAAGCATATTGATGACATCGAGTACGAGAATCGTATGCTGGAAGGATTATCCTGCTCTAATCGTCTCGGATTCACCAATTTTCTGATTCTAGGGGACTTCAATCTTCTCAAAGTCGTTTTGGTGGAACATACGTACATTGACGGTGAAAACTTAACTGAAGCTCTGTTCCTCAACCTCAATGAAGATCTGAGATTATTTGAAAACATGAAATCGGCAACTCCTTGGAGAAACAGTCGGACATTGTCATGGTTATTTACAAACGGAGAATTCCTTAATTACAACCTCTCAGTCCTGGCTCTCTTGAGGTAAAGCTTTCACGCCAACATGAGCTGGAATTTCAAATGGTCAAATGTGTCAGTTTTACAAGACAATCTACAGGAGGTGGATTGGGATGTTCACCCTCAACTTGATGTGGATGCTTATTGAGACTTCTTACTGCACATGATCTTATGTGCTACAAAGTAGTCTGCTCCTCAAATGGTCCACAAAATCTACTAGCAACCTATAGTCATCAAGAACCCTATTCTTCTTTTGTTAGACCGCAAAAAGCACTATTGGGCAGAGTACAGACGAACTGGAAACAAGGGCAAGGACAATACAACATACAGCATACACCATATAAGAAACTTATGCACAAATGCAATAAGAGAAGACGGGCTTCAGTACTAGATGAAGCTTATCGATAAATTTGCCTCCAATCCGAAGAGCTTATTCTGTCATGCAACCTCTCTTCGACAAATCAAAACTGGAGCTTCCTAAATGCTAGGTCGTAATAGCCCGACCAACAACGACGGTGACTCTGCTAACTTTCTGATCGAACTGGACTGTCAGACGTTTCAACCGAACCACAGTAACTATATGATGAATGCTTCATCTGTAACTGCGTAGGACTTTCCAAAGTGAACCTGACCCCTTACTTGGTGCACTGGAATCTGCAACACCTAAATATGACACTTCTCTTGGTCCGGATATGGTTCATTCTGCTATACTGAGGGAAGCTTCAAACTTGGCGACACCTCTTAGCGTGCTATTCTTGCACTCGCTAAGCCGAGACAAATTGCCTGAAATTTGGAATCTGGCTCATATCACATCAATTTTTGAAGACGGTTGACACAGCGAGCCTTCAAGCTTCCGACCGGTAGCTCTATACACTCAAGAATTGTGGAGTCCGTGATATGCGACGGCATACACAACTATTTATTATCCTTAAACTTTTCACCCGAACAGCACGTTTTCAGGATGGGTCATTCTTGTATAACCAACCTGTTGACTATGGTGGACATATGAACAACCATCCTTAATAGCAAGGGGAAGGTTGACGTCATTTACCTTCACTTCTCAAAAGCTTTTGATAGGGTCAACCATATATGTCTTATCAATAAGCTCAAACGATTAGGTTTCAAATCACCTCCGATTGACTGGCTCACTTCATATCTAAAAAATCGACGTTCTAAGGTCAGGGTTAACTTCACTTCCTCTCACGCTATGGAATGTCCTAGTGGGGTCACTCATGATTCAGTACTGGAACCTCTTATTTTCTTGATTTATATAGACGACCTTCCATAATAGGTATCGTCTGACTTATTACTTTTCGCTGGAGACGTGAAACTTTGGAGAGGGATAATCAACCAAGAGGATATACTGGCACTTCCGGAGGATCTCACTTGGCTTCAAAGTTGGTAAAACGACAACGGATTTACCTTTAACATTTCAAAGTGTAAAGTAGTTCACTTGAGACATGTTGCAGACTACAGCTACCATATAGGCAACTCCTCTCTAGAAGTATCCCAAGTTGAGAACGATTTATGAGTACTGGTGCCTCGCGATTTGTAGCCATACGCAAAGTGTAACAAAAATGCCTTTCGAGCAAACCTTGCACTGACCAGTTTAACGGAAGAACTTTCACATAATCTTCAACAGTTTTATTCGTCCCCATTTAGAGTACGGAAACATAGTATTCCCTTTCTCATTCCAAAAGGATAAGGACACTCTAAAATCAAGCCACGAAATCAGTTCGGGGACTCAAATTCAAGCTTTATGAACAAGCATCTAATCACCGAAACTCTACCAATTGGAGTACAGGCGTCTTTGGGGTGATCTTTTAATGGCTTACAGTATCCTTAACACTTATTGACATCCTCCTAAATACTTATTTAAGCTTATCTCCAACAAAAATCTAAGGATAACAACCAGAAACTGGTGACATAACTCAGCATAACGGACTATAGACACAACCTGTACTACTTGAGAGTAGTCAAATGCTGGAATTAGCTGTCGGCTGAGCTAGTCCAAGAGACTTCCTAAAAGTCCTTTAAGAGGAAACTGGAGTTGTTCTTAAGGACTAAGGATAGTACCTTACTATGATCTACCAATTTCTTTTTTTTTCTTTCATCGGTAATACATCTAGTTTCCTGCCTGGAGGTATTGGTGATTCACCGCTACTAGACACGGAAGCCCGTTAAGCGAAAGCTTCTTCAATTCCGTCCAAAACCATTTGAACCATTTGAATATGTCAAACTCCTATATTATTACCTCTCATATGTATCAGACAATCTTATCGTCTGCGTGCTTTTTATATGCATCAAATGTACTTGCCTATTGAATGAGCATTTTTCAAAGGCAATGAATGTTTGGCTTGAGTTATGTTTCGAAGGCACAGGCCTAGTGATACTAGCGCAGTTAAGTCTAGGAAAAAGTTTCTAAGTGAAAAAGAAAGTACTCATAAAATAAAGCACTTGAAGATTCTGATAGGTAGTGAATAAACTTGTTTTATTTAACCTATGTATCTTTCAGATACCCTACCAGATGATGAACTTCAACCATTTTTCGTTGAAAATTCGTCCCTAATATTCCTAGTGTTTAGTGATTGTTTCTTCAGTTTAGAGTGGGATGTCAAATTAAAGGGTATATTGTTGTTTTTTGGCATTTCAAATTCATAGGAAGCAGTAATTGTATCAAAGATTTGGAGGTAGTGCTTACAGTATTTGAGGTGGTATCTTTTTCTGAGTGATCTTATTTTCAGAAAGTACTGTTATTGTTGCCGGAACATATCCACCAAAGATGGCAGCATAACTGTATCAGTAGGTTTTCTGTGTTTTTAGTAACTCACTTCATCTAGTTGAAGTAATTGAAGATCTCCTGTACGAAAAGAATGCGCTCAATATCCGTAAAAGGGGAATCAGGCTATTTTTAATATGGTATCAAATACTTGGCTTAAATGCGACATCTGTCTGCCACAGACTTTTCTACAATCTGGTCCCTGAATTTGGCTCACTAATTGCAGAATATCAAAAGCGTGAAAAATGTGATCAGCTCAAGCACAATCATCTTCAGGCTAGAAAATTCTCGACGGATACACGTGGGCAAGTGATGCAAGAGTCAAGATCCTCGAATGTTGTTGCCCCGCGCGAACGCGTCGCACTCCTAACTGCCGCTGCTCTAGGAGAGGATGAATCGGTAAATGTTTTGATCTCTCCTCCTAAATTTGATAATTTTGTAGTCTGACGATAAATCCCTAGTCCTGCTTCGGGCACTTCTGTGTTTCCTTGTCTCAGAATCCTTCAAGGTCGAGTGGTCGCAACTTCGGTATGAGCAGCATTTAATGCAGCTATGGTTTCTGTTCGAAAAGTTAAAACATTCGTACCTCCCCGTTATTTTTCCATGGTAAGTGTTTTAGAATGTGAGTAATCTAATCTCATGTCTAACAGTTTATGATTATTGATCTAAAAACTTTTTACTCAATAGATCGTGCTATGCTCTGAGAAGTATTTTTCTCCTACAAGGCCGTTACGAATAAATGACATTCTTAGTTTATGGGTTTTCGATCATAGGTATCTTTGAAGTATTAGTCGTGTATTTTGGGACTACTGAGTAAGCGATGATCGTGCTAGGAGTAGAGTAGTAGGTAAGGATGGCGGATCGATTGAAGAGGTTGCAAATCTTCACCAACTGAGTTGGTTGAAACATGTTGCATATGCTCGACCAATTCCCACTTTGGTGGCCGATGCTTTGTACTGTAGGAGAAAGCTGGTGATGACCAAACCAAGACGTGGCATCAGTCCATAAAATTGCTGACAATCGAACTGAGCCGTGTTACTAGGTATAGACTACCTTGTTAGGGTTCGCGTGATTATCATAACCAACGGTTAAAGAATTGAATAAATTAGCTGAAAATTGTTTGGGATGGCCCAGGTGCATCTGCTATTTTTCTTCCTTCAAATTCCGAGATTCCAACTTTTTGTCGTTTTCATTCCACTAATTTAAATTTTCTCGAATCGTATCTTCAATACCTAGTCTTTCCTATTACCACTGATACTGTTACTACCTCTACTATTTTGGCGTGACGTTTTTATCTTCGTACTAATTGATTATGGTGACTTGAATCGATGTACAAACGTACTAGGTCCTACGTTGTGGTTGACTGACAAGGCAGAACCGCCTGATATTACAATCAGCCAGTCAGTTGCGAAGTAGAACCTTTCACATACATGCATCGGTTCACTAAGTATAATTCGGTGTTTGAAATGCTGCTAAGTTGGTGGTTAATATCTTATTTGTGGGGCAAACACGATATCTAAACTAGCGACGAATCCGAATGACTTCACATCAAGGATACGTTTAATGAAGTCTCCTAGTTCTTGGTCGATCACTGTATTTGAAGTACTATTCGCAAATTATATAGCCAGTAGCCATAAATCTTTTACATCTGAAATTACCTGCTGACAATTCGCTTTATTATGCTGAAGAATTCAAGCATGTTATAGTGCTGTAGTTATACGTTTTTTCGGGCTTTGTTCTCATGTGGTTTTCCATTGTTCTTGTGTTTGAATAATCGTGTCGATTTTTACAGCTTGGTTAATTATAATTGTCACTTAATCTATTATTCATGTGCTAGGTGACATACATTACTGTTATTTTTCGGCTTTGAGTCACGTCTCGTTTGTAAATTAGTAATTCCCGACTGCACGAGCTAAAGTAAATGTAAAAGGGTTCAGAGATGATACCTATTAATCAGGAACCACGTTGTATAGCCATGAAACAATCTTCTAAGACAGATATCCTAAAATAAACTATAAAAAAACGAGATATCGTAATTTGTTTGATTATATTTTCATTACAGTAGACTTACACGAAACATTAGACTTGTATATTTATCATATTTCTTCCAATTCTGGCAGTGACTAAAGGAAATATAGTGAGTGGTAATCAATGAGTTCTTTTTGGCTTAATGAAAAAAATCATCTCTTGTTTTCTAATGTCTCAATTTAGCCTCAGAAACCTCGGTTGATCTGACCTCTAAAGTTACAGTCTAGTATTTTTTCTCCCATCAATTAACTTCGACTAATTTGTATCTATGCTCCATTGGGAGTAACAGGCGTAAGTAAGCAAGTAATTTGTATCTCAATCCAACCCGATGAAGCTTCGTTCTCTGAACTGGATGGTTTAGTCGAAGAGCTTTCATTTTTCTTCGGACTTTAGACAGAAGTCACTCGAATCTCGTGCTAATAATGTTATTCAGAAGAACAATTATAGTTCAACGATCAATCCATTCAACCTAGAGAATTCTATCAAGATCACCCAACTGAGCTAAAAATCTTCACCATCTCAACATGATTTTTAAACCAATAGTGTACTCAAAGCAGTGTTTGAAAGTTTATAATTTATCGTAATTTCCGTAGTTTTTTTATGTATAAAACTACATGACTTGCCCTCTAATCAATAGTTCTGTATATACACTGTCCCTCTCATAAGCTAAACTACTGAAAAGATTCTTTAAAAGTTCTGTTGCTTAATTGGACTTTTGTTTTCTGTCTGTTACTGTTTTTTGTGTAGGAGGAGAGCAATATTTCACTTAATGCATGTTTTTTGTTGGTAGAATAAGGTCTACGCAAGTTGAAAAATCTGGATAGAGTGTAATTGATGACAAGTTACAAGCTATCTCAGCATGAATTCGAAAAGCTCTTTTGGCTTTTGCCAACTTACGTCAATTATGGCGAAGGCGAGATATCCGTCTATCAATTAAGCGACAAGTATACTGCTCAGCAGTTCGTTCTGTTTTACTTTACGGTTGCGAAACGTGGCCGTTAAGAGTAGAAGATATTCGTAAGCTACTAATATTTGACCACATATGTCTTATAAAGATTGCTCGCATCTGCTGGGATCACCGGGTAAGTAATAGTGAGGTTGGATGTAGGGTATTAGGGAATGATGGTAAATCAGTTGATTGGGTTGTAAATCTTCATCGACTGAGGTGGTTGGGCCACGTGTTGCGTATGCCTGAACACCGATTACCACGACGCGCAGTGATGACTAGTGTAGGGGATGGTTGGAAAAAAGTTAGGGGCGGCCAAACCAAAACGTGGCATCAGTGCTTGAGGTCACTAACTTCTGGTCTGAGCCATGTTGGTAGATGCAGACTACTTGGTTGGGGTCCGCGTGACTATCGCAGCCAATGGTTGGAGACTCTTGGTGACATGGCTCAGAATCGATCACAATGGCATCGGTGTATACACTGTCTTCCCTTAAACTATGAGATTAACATCGCTCCATACCTTTCTTCCTTTACTATATCCTTATATGTAATCTTTCTTCTATATATTACCACCTCTGAATTAACTACTTCTATGAATCCTGTGTTCGTCTTGTTGTGCTAATGAGGTATGGCAACTTGGATTGATGCATACATGTGCCTGGTCCTACGTTGTAGCTAACTGATTGATTGAATTGCAAGTCTAACTTATTTTTTTGTTTCGATCTCCACTTTATCCACTGTAATTTGAAGAACCAATTGGTAAACCATGACTCTAAGAAAATATAAACTTTTGATAAACCCAAAACCCTAAATTCCATTCTTGAGGTCTCAACTGACTCCACAGATACCAGTGTAAATGCTGAAGTAGATTGGTGTAGCCAAATACTTTGTTCTTTGTTTCCAGGTTAATTGCATGGATGCTTCAATCCAGGAACTATTTTTTATTATGAGCGGTGTGGCTATTGAATGTTTTTTACAAAGTATGCATATTATAAACTCATTATTTTTGTTTAGTTTTAGAGTTATGTTTTTTGTTAATTTCTTTATTCCCATTCAATATACAGTTTATCTCCTTTATACTCAATATATTCGCCCTCGATTTCATCCCAAGCGAACAACACAGTCCCATTAACTTCAAATATTTTACAGGATTACCCAATCCATCCATCACGTCTTTCCTACTATCAGTTAGAATTCGCCTGCTGGTTGGCAACTTTTGTATATACTGGTCCACGGGAATCAAGTCATGCTATGTGAGTTTTTGCTTTTTTGGGGCCATGTGTATAGTTCACCTTTTTAAGTTGAAAACGGGTTGATAAAGCCGAGTGGTATTTAAATAATAAGCCGTGTTAACGGATTATGGACATTCTCACTTTCACTCATCAATTATGCAAAGCATACGTTATGTAGTTTGTAAGATTTATTAAACAGGATGTTTTTCCTTTTAGCTCTTCAGACGGTGGCTTCGATTCAAATTTTACTACCCATGGTTCTGTAGTTGGTACTACTGGCCCATCTTTTAACCTGGCTGGCAGTTTCCCATGGGATACACATGGTGATCCAAACGACTTTCTTCTTTCTCGACATTTCCGCTCATTCATAGGTTGTCCTGGTCATGGTGAATTCGAATCTGGATCATATTCAAAGGTTAACAGTTACTCCAAACTTTCGAGTTCCCCACCCGGTCAAGCATCAGTTTATCTACGAAATGGCGACGAGAACTTTGTCCAGGAACCAACTAACCAGGCTGCGCTAAACCTCTCTCCTAAACCAAACAGTTATCTACTCAAAGATACTGTTGTAATTCCTTCCACTGTTCAAACATCACCACTTCCACAAAAATTTATTTTCACTGAACTATTTTTCAATTACGATGAAAAAGTCGTAAGTAAACATTTAAATTAGAAAGTTTTAACATTTGTTGGTGAGTGAGTAGTTTGATTGGATGAATTTACCTTATTCAGAGTCTTTTTGCTGTCCAACTGCAAATGTTTTGGTGTCCTAAGCTACATAATTAGTAAATCTCTCACTGGTTTTATCCTACCGATGACTAATAGTTCAATGGTATCTTGTTTTTTTACTTAGGATGTGATTGAACTATCTTTGACTGTTACCACTTACTCGCGTATATCTATTTCGTTTACTGATTCATTATAGGCAGTCTCAGACGCCTCTTACTTAAGGTTTTATGTGTCGTAGAAACTCAACTGTTTATCGGGAATATAATCTTTTTACTAGGGTAGGGGAGCTGAAGAATTCATAGGTTAATCATTTGAAGTAATGGTAGTTGTACACAACCAATGCTATCAGTCGTTGATTAAAGCAAGCAGCTACACTTATTAGCACTGATTTATTTCATAGTATTACTTTGTTGTGTATATGCAACCGTCCTCGTAACCACTACCTTTCTCCCAGTTATCATCACTCTTAATTATTCATGAACCAAACTTTGACATCATTTAGATTCTTCTAATATTTCACCATGAATTTTAAACAGTCCTTGGAGTAATAGTAATGCTTTAGTGCTGGTGAAGATTTGTGTTTGGAATTCCAGTCGTATTAAATGGCCGTTTTTGTGAAAAAGTCCCGAATAAAATTATTCATTTTTTATTGAAACTACGAGAAAACCTGAATCAATTTTCGATAGATGCTATCTAGCTGAAAATAATTTTATATTCTACATATGGTTTTCTATAAGATTGCTTTGAGGAGGGACAGGTATCAATGTTTTTGAATCATAATTAAATACTGGATCCATTGCTTGATTTATATAACTTGTAGATTAATCTGCTCTTCCAATTATTTAGCTCCAGGAAATAAATCATTCATAATATTATGATTGGAAGTCATATACATTTTTTCTGATTGTTTGATCATCAATTTAAACGTATTTACAAATAATTTTATTCTTCAGGTTTCTATGGTTCATGAAGTGTTATATGGATGTAGACAAAATATTGATTTGGTACAGGATATTTTACATCAGGCATTGCTACTTCCTTTGGAATGTCACAAAGCTCTTTTCTTTATCGTTACAGTTTATGGTTCGTGGTTGGAAGTAAGTGTTTATTCAGTTTCCAAGATTATATATTTTGTTGTCACATTTTCGAACTCCTGGGAGCATTTTCAAGTACTTTAAAACTTAGTTTATATGTGGTAACAAATGATGCATTTCTAGTTAACATCGGCTTTTATGTGATCTGTTCATTACGTACCACCGATTAACTTATATAACTAAGAACCCAAACGAATGTTGACCAAAGAATCGTAAATCAAGACTGACGTCAATAGTTTTGAACTATTTGTGTCATTCAGATAGAATAACGTCCCTATGCTAAGATTCACAAGGCTTGTAGCGATTTAAAGCAAGTTACAGAGTATGATATGATGAAACCATAGCAAAACACTGCAACTGGATTTTAATTATGTACAATTTTTTATCTTGAACTTGTAATTATTTATCTTGTAATTACTTGTATTAACTATTCATTTTTAAGCTTTCATTTCTTGCTCTCATTTTAACTTCAGTCATATTTTTATGCGATATCCTTCAGCTCAGTGCTTTTTCTAATATCAGACTTCCATTAAAGAAATGCTGTTCTTATAACTTGTCTGACAAAAAGCCATGTATTGGAATTATAAAATTCACCATTCCATAAATTGTTTCAGTGTACTTAGATGCAAAACAGTGTACCATATTGGAATAATCCAGGTCTCTACATGGACTTCATAATGTCCTAAGTTCACTGAATAGTCGTAGTACAGACTACCAAATTTAATCAATCATACCAAGTATTTACACCTTCTTTTTCATTACTTTGAGAATGGGACTAGCTATCCTGGTTTGTTTCAAAAAATAAAAAAATGAATTCTTACTACTGTTTACAATTTCTTAAATACACTTCCGTCGATTCTACTGAATATCTCGAAAGTTGTCAATACACCTTGGATATTTACCGAGGCCTAATAATGTATAATACCAGTGATAATTTGACAATCACTTTTATTCTGTGTAGGAATTCCCACCTCTCTCCATATATGTAGTTCAATGAATTGTTGATTTCATTGATATTTTGTTTTAAACTGTTAAAGCTGGTTGTATGTAGTACCATTTTAGCTAGTAACAAATATAATAATCTTTGCCTGTAATATCTAACTACTGTTATTGTTTTTTGTCGTTCAAATTTAGAACAAACACAATCGCCCAATTTTTATGCAAGCTTTAGATAGTCCAATGAAATGTATTAATCTGGTTAGTTTCAAATTTGTTGATCTCCCTCTTTCTAAACATTTTGATATCTGTTTTCTATCATTTTTAAAAGTATAATAGACCAGTTGATTTTATCGCAAATATATTTACATATTAATTAGTGTTCAACTGTTCGTCCATTCTAAGCATGACGTTAAAAGAATCATCATAAGAGAATTAAAAAAACACTGTTAGCTTTGGCTTTTAAGAACACTAACCTACTGAAAAAGTACTCAAAAATGTTCTGTTATAGAAACTGACTGTAGTTTTCATTCCTAAGAATACTAGGTTAAATAAGTGTTAAGCTTTGGTCTTGTTTGTTTAATTCGCTTTTTATTAAGCTAATACCTTGCAATTATTACAACGTCGTAAACTGGAAGTCATTTCTCAGTGTTAGCTTCCTCCTGACACAGTTTCTAGTCCCCTAACAAGTTGAACAACTAAGGAAAAGGTATCTTTTACTGCATCAGAATAATTGATATTTTAAATTATTTTCTTATTGTTTTCTCCCCAGGATAACCTTGTATACACTGGTATTTTACGTAATTTTCAGTTGTACATGGCTTTATATTACATTATTATTGTACAGTTTATATTATGCAATACTGTACGTAAGAAATACTTGTTTTAAATTTTACTTTCGCTAAGAATACAAATATTACAATAATTATGTGGTTGTCAAGTGCCGTTCATAAAAAAAGTAAACTTTTCCAGTCATGTAAATGTAAAAAAATATTTTTCTTCTTATTACGTAAACCCTCAGCCAGTGAAACCACAAGTAAACGCATGTTCAACAGAACACAGTCAAATGCTTAAAACGAATGGCCGTATGAATGATCCCAAACAAATTCAACAGTCGCAAATTGAAGATTGTCCTATTGATCTGACTATATCTAAGGATGATGTTGGCGTCAATGATCCAGAAGAATTAAAAGGTTGTTTACAGAATACAATTCAGGTTAGCTGTAGCATCATTAACATTTGAATAATTAACTAACAAACTTGGTTGTTCACTAGTTACCTTAGAATAATATTATTTATTGTTTATTTTGTTTTGCTTACTTACTTGCTTACCACTTCTAGTTACATCTACATGCAGATCTCAGTGATCAATAATGATTATTGATTTCCTATGTTTGTTCGACTGATTTACTTATTGTTGCGACCTGTACTAAGGATGCAACCAAGTTTTGCACACAGTTAATTTATTCATATCCATTTTCAAGTAATGATGCTTAAATTCTATTTGCTTGGAAAACCTTTTAAGTTATTTTACCATACATATATATAATTAGTTTCTTAAATCTATAGAATGTGTTGACCTCTCTGTAAATTATTGATTGCTTTAAGTGGTAAAATTATTATATTTCTTCTTTAAGTCCAGTGACATTATTGTATATAAATTAGTTTTAAATGGATATTCCAAGATTTCATCTGTCGAGTAATAGTTTATAAGTTTTTATCTAGTATAAAATCTGGTATTTATTGTAGCCTTCGGGAAGACTTGCTTCACAAAAATGTGAAAACTTCTGTTTTCCTGGAGATCCTTAGCTGATTTTGCTCAGCACTGAAAACACAAACTCTAACTACTGGCTTATTTTGTATATGATTACCCTGTAAGATCGGACTACACAAAATGATGGTCGGTAATTTGAAATCAAGGTAGTTTTGTGACACTTCATTACCAGTCTCAAACGATAAGTGTAGTTTGAATAGTATAATGAGAAGATTATCAAAACTATATCATATATTAGCGCAATACTTTTCTAACAATCTGATCACTCATATGCTTGTTATGGTTATTTATATATGAAAAGTTAAAAGGTCCACTAGACGAATGAAAGGTAAAAAGAAAGAAAGAAAGATAATAACGAAAATAATGTGGATAACAATGTGAAATTCATCACGCTGGATAATAAAACAGTTTTACCAGAGATGGTTCAGCGTGAGAACAGATTGTTCTTGAGCACATGAAAGGGGTTTGAATTTTTGTATCTCCGGGACCCCGATAAACATAAGTATACGCCCTTGAACGCTTTTATACAAAACCACGGAAGCTGAGTATGATGTTTTTCCTATCGTTTATTAGTCCTGTGAACTGTTTTTTTGAATGATCTACGCAACGTTCGTCCATTCTCATTAGGTTTTGTGCTGTATTCTGTGATGAATGCTTACATACATATACCATTAATATTTGTACGCCAGTCAATGTCTGTAGTGACTAATAACGAATTACTACTTAATAATCATAATCTATATTTGAGGTCGTTGTAATCTAAGGGTGATAGATTACAGAGTGTACTGATTCATAGTTTATTTCAATGTGGTCACTGCAGTCACTGCCGACTTCTAAAGCTCGAGATTTTCATAAGTATTCCTTCTATATATAATTTGAACACTGGTACAAGGGGGCACGATATACATACGCGACACACGATAACAATGAGGCTAGTAACAGTTACCATTGGTTTGTGTGACGTCTGTTATACTGCCCGGGTGCCCAGATTGAAGCAGGTGGTTTTCTTAGGAGGCAACACCTCAAGCCTTCGACCTAAAGATCTGATCCACAATGAAGTGGAGCAATGTCAGAAGTTGCAGTCCCATGGTAGCCGGTGACCAACAATACGTTTACATGCCTTTTGTTCCCTCAGGATCCTGTACTCTATTGGTTTGTAATCAGGGTTTTCCGACTCCCCCAGGTGGATCCTCCATATCCACCAACTCGGTTAAGGCACCGGACATTCGCTTTTCGTCCTCTCAATTTCGTAAACAACACCTCCACCACGAGAAGGTAGTGTGTAAGACTTCGCTGGTAATGGTTGTATACGCCTGGTCATGTGAGTGCATTTTGAGAGGGAGAGCTGACTCAACCCACCCCCGGCCATACAAGAGCATTTGGGGGCATATATATATATATATATATATATATATATATATATATATATATATATATATAATTAAGTTGAAATCTTATAATATGCAAGAACTTCATTTCTTGTCTAATCACCATATACTGTTCTTCGATGCATCCAATAAATCGGATTGAAATAGTTAATCAGCACATTTACTATCCTTTTTACCCTAATGCCATCGTTATCCAAATTCGTTTGTCCAGTTATTAACCACTTACTAAACTTCTTAATGATATATATTCTTAGAACGTATTCACACTGTATATTCAACTAAGTTATGTCATTTGTCTGTTACGTTATGTAATCTCGAAAAATATTTCGGAAACACAAACACACCTGTTTTACTAATCTTTTTAAGTCTTTTTCTTCAATCATCAATTAGTGAATTTTTGTTTATGTTTATTGATTTTATTTATTTGTTTAAATTATTTTTTGTTGTTGTTTGTCGTTGTATAACACACCCATACACCCTGTAGATTATGCTGGAAAATATGGCCAATATATTTTATGCCAGTAGTTTAAATCCTAACTTATCGGAATCACAAAATACAAACAAAATCAGTACAACTGGAACAGATTATACAAAATATCAAATTGATTTATGCCGTTTAGTGTTACAGATTTTTCAATTTGCTAGTAACAGTAATGAGTTAACTTCAGAGACCTGGTAAGTATACAGTATAAACTTTTAAAAAAGTTATGGTTGCATTTTACGTGTGAAAAAAGGAACAAATTATTACTTTTTTTTCTTAATCTCGTACGTTTGCCGTAAACGGGCTCAGTTGTTTAATCACATGTTGGTTATGTTAGAAAATACTATGCAACAAAACAGAAATATGTCCTTCAGTTAACAACTTTAGAAGTATACTTAAACGCCTAATTGTGTAGTTGGTCAGTTCAGATAACTATTAAAGCGGTAACATACTGAAAAAATATGAATATTTTGCCTTGTGTCCAACATCTCAAACGTATTAAAATTTTTATTTCATGTCATACACCATTAAACAATATGATTAGTTGTAAACTACTCGTGCTAATCAACGCTGGTACTTGACCAAACTGTAATGGTTTGAACACTAGACGATCATTTCACTTTCTTGAAGTGTATTGTATCAGTTACGTAAACAGACTGTTTCAATCCAACGATGACCCTACTACCATTTGATATAAGTGATTTTCAAGTAATCATCTTACCTTTTGATATGAAGCTTAAAGCCTACAGACAGGAATTTTCTGTACCGTTAGTAAATTCTGTGAAATCGTACATTACGTTTCCTAAGGAAATTTCGATGGGATTTTATAGTTAGGTTTTATCTGTTTGTGTCATTCACATCCTTAACTGTGAATTCTCCAAACATCTCTTCGATTGGATTAATCTATTTATAAATCATTGGTATTTTCAAAACTTCTGTATTTGGAACAAGTAGTTTAAATCTTATTAGCCTGGTGTTTGATTTCCAGTTAGGTTTCTTTAATTAAGATCCTTGGTTTTTCCAATGATCTACATAGCCCACGTATTAAAAGTCGATTATACTTCATGAGTCTAATCATCCTTTTCATATTTTAGGTCTAAATTATTGTCCATCCTAATGGATATAATGCGCAAAACAATGGTTAATACTTCGCCAAATAATGTTCAGAACTACAAATGGTTATCAAACAATAAACTTACACAGAATCTTTTTCAGGTAGGATATCTTGATAGCTGTTTACATTGTACTATAAAATTTGTGCTCCTTTTGTAGGGAAGCTTAAAGTCTCATATTATTGCAACATGTTAAATTTGCGATTAATTTGTTGACCTCATTTTTCCCATATGTCTCTGTTAACACTTAGAAATCTATGTAGTGCATGTAAGCATATCAGTTCAATCGTAACTATTAGTCCAAACTAATTAATTTATGAGACGGAAATAAAACTCGTAATCCAACTAATCGGAAATTGTGCCAATTGTTCGGATTCACTGATTTCTATATGACAGTTATTGGCATAATTCTCAGAGATACTTATATTATTACTCGGTTAGTTTTTCTCTACGTCGGTCGATTGAAAGTAATTTAATAAACACATTCTCAACTATGCTTCAAGTTGAAATACATTTTTGCTTAACAAAAGCGCAGCAAAATGAGTTATGAAGCACTAAACACAGGTACAGCAACGTTGTTTTCAGTTTTCAAAAGAAAATATAGCAAATAATTGTTTACTGTGGTTCTATTAGAGCATAAATACTAGGTTGTCGCAAACATTTTATTTTATCTAGATTACTAGTTTTGATTGTTACTACATCGAATTTGCAATGTATCATTAGTAAATAACAGGGTCCGTTAATTTTATTTGCTCCATATTCACTTTCAACTGGTATGCGACCTGAGATCTAGCCTCTCAAGCTGCCTACTTACATCTCTCTTAGTATTTAACATTCTCTTTGTGAAATCATGAATCGATCAATGTTAGACCACGATTAAGAAGCTGTAAGGACTGGACGGCCATTTCGTCAGTATGGAACTCCTCAGCAGTGCACATCCCCGATCCTGCTCGCGGTAATCGAACCCAGAAGCCGAGCAATCTCCACAACCCTATACTGGTTCTCTTCGTGATATTGATTTTTAATGAAAAGCGTCAAATGGATTAAATCTCGGTATTAGAGTGTATCGTAATCTTCCCCTGCTACTTATTATATCAAGGGTACCGATACATTAGAATTAACTGGGACCACGCGTTACGTTGCCATTTCTTGCAAGTATGGCTTGCAGAGTATGCACAGAATACCTCTTTATAGATCTACCACACTATTCTTTCATACATTCATCTATGGAGAATATTCGATGTATTGTTACATGTTTATTAACCAAACTGTATCATTTTCGAAGGTGACTATTCATAGATATATAGGGACTATGTAAAATCGATAGCCACATGTAAAACAGGGTTTCTGTAAAATTGCTATCATCTTTACGTTTATTGGTTCCGTAAATATTTTACCATTGTCTTCATTCTGGTAGAAGTAGTTCTAATGAGCTTTCATCAACTTATATTTCGTTGTATCTTTTATTTTGGTGTATATCGTAGAATTAAAGCCCATAAATCTATTTCCTTCTTTGTAGACTTTAAATGGTGCTTTATTACGTGCATCTCTATTTTCTACAATATCTTCAGAGTCATGGGACCAGTGTTTAAATGTTTACTCTCAGTTAAGTCACTGGCCATCACTGATAATCGAATGGAAGGTATGTTACATAGTAGTACAAATCCCTATTTATATTTACTGTTTCTATCATATTCAATTAAGTACCTCAATAGCAATTGGAAAAAACTGGGAAGGAGTACCTAGGACAGAGTTCGATGAAGAATCCTAGTAGGAGGGTTATGCTCCTCCACGAGGGGTAACAGTCTAAAGTAAAGGATCTCAGTTATCTGTAACTATCGTATTATTCTTTGGTGTCCTAGTACAAACAAGAATGGAGGAGATCCTACCTCTTACAGAATTGTCCTACGCAGTCCTTCCACGTGACTGGGATGTGTCCATCGAAATGAGAGAGAGAACACATGAATATTGGTACAAGAGAGCGCCAATATATATGCGCCACACAAAACAATGAGAATTCGAAGAGAAATAGAAAAAAAATTTTTTAAAATAAAAAAAAACTAAGGAGCGCAAAAGAAAAAGAGAACAATAACGAAGAGATTGGTGTAAGGTAGTGTGGTAGTAACGAGGGAACGCAAAGTTACAATCGGAAGAAATCTTTCAGGTAAGGGAGACACAACCACTTTTTTGAAGAAAGTAAAAGAAGATTACAGCAGGATCGCCACTGGCTTCTATTCTGAGCCATATCTGATAACGTCTCTAGCCACTGTGTAGCACCATCTCTCAGACCCCAACCAGGGAGTCGTGAACGACCGACAGAAGCCAGTCCTTTCCAGCTTTCTTTCATACCACGACACCATGTCATGCACTGACCACCTATCCGCTTCTTCCAACCAGTCCCAGAGTCGGCAAATAATGCACGACGTGGAATTCTCTGGGACGACATTCGGAGAACATGTCCAAGCCACCGAAGTCGGTGTTTCAAGATGGTGACACCAATTGAATTATCATCTCTGTGCCCGAACACACGATGCCGAACCTCTGCATTACTGACATGGTGTTGCCACTGAATGTCAGCAATCCTTCGGAGACAGCGATGATCGAACACAGAGAGTCGTCTAACGTCCTCAACTCGGAGAGACCAGGTTTCACAAGCATAGAGCAAAACTGCTCTCACCGACGCGTTGTAGATCCGACCTTTTACAGCCAGACTAACATCACGAAGGCGCCAAAGGTGGCCCAGATTGGTATAAGCCGCTCTGGCTTTCACTATTCGTGCATTGATCTCATCACCCACACCCCCACCAGCACTTATGCAGCTACCCAGATACACGAACTTCTCGACTACGTCTATCTGCTCACTATCCAGGGTGAGTACAGGATTGGAATCCTGTCAGTCTTGTGGAAGTACTTTGCACTTCGAAGGTGCAAAGCACATACCATACCTACGGACACTGATTGTCAACTGATTAAGTGCGGATTGCATGCCTTGGGCATTATCGCACAGTAAGACAATATCATCCGCATACTCAAGGTCGAGAAGTCTTTCTCCAGGCAACAGATCCACACCACCATTACTTACATTCATCAGAGCTGTTTCCAGAATGTCATCGATGGCAAAGTTGAAGAGGAATGGTGAGATTGGGCAACCCTGCCTAACCCCACTGCTCGAATGGAACAATGGAGAGAGGTGGTTGTATGCCCTCACTCTGCCTGAGGTGTTTTTATATAGGGCTTTTAGGATGTTAATAAACTTCTCAGGCACACCCTTCTTCAATAGACAATTCCAGAGAACAGCCCTGTCCAACGAATCGAAGGCAGCCCTGATGTCAAGAAACACTACGATTGTTGGCCTTTGATAAGTACGGCGGTGTTCTAACATTTGGCGGAGGGTGAAAATATGATCAATACATCCTCGACCAGAACGAAATTCAGCCTGCTCCTCGCGAGTCCATCTTTCTCGGGTTTTGAACAACCTACGAAGTATGACGGAAGCCAATAGCTTGGACGCAATCGGAAGTAGACTTATCCCCCGATAGTTGTTACAGGAACGACGTGAACCCTTTTTAAAGATAGGGACAACTATCGACTCATTCCATGACGTTGGCACACTCTCTAGTTCCCAAACCTTTGTAAACAACGTCGTCAATTCCTTAGTCAAAAAGTCACCACCATCTTTAAAAAGAGCCGGAGGTAAGTCATCTGGGCCAGGTGATTTGTAACGCTTCAAGAGTTGGAGTTCCTTGCGGACTTCCTCCTCGTTTGGTGGATCAGTCGTCACCGGCCATGGAGGGCAGGACAGTCTGACCGATGTTGCCGGAGCAGCAGGCCAGTTGAACTGCCCTTCGAAGAATTCTGGCCATCGTCCAAGACGTCGATGGATGTTAGTGATTGGCATCCCATCATCCTCACAGATTGTTTCACTCACACCAGACTTCTTGCTGCCAGTGGCTCGGATGAGCTGGAAGAGCTTCCGGTAGTTACCAGATGCAGCTGCTGCTTCCAGCTCATTAGCACGCTTCGACCATCAGGCTTCTCGGTCCTTACACAAGCTTTGCCCAATTTCCTTACGTAACATCCTTCGTTTGTGGTCAAACTCACGGTCACCCGGAGTAGACCGACGGGCTTCAATGAGTTGTAAGGAACCTGCAGAAACCCAGTGCTTAAAAGCGGGACGTTTCGCGAACCCACAACTGACTGTTCCCGCCATTTTCATGGCGTCATGCAATTGCAACCAATGCTCATCTATACTTTTCGGTGGAGTGGTAGCTGGCCTAGAGGCTAGCTCGGTTCGATACTTACTTGCAACAGAAGTTGCAACCAGCTTGCTAATATCAATCCGTTGATGGCGGTCACTTCGTTGTCCACTGAAAAGTAAGGCCAGATTGGCGCAGACCAAGGCATGGTCAGAGTCCAGATAGGTACTCCAAAAGGAGTGGCAGTCTTGTACACAACCACGCCAGCGGTAGCTAATCGCGATGTATAAAAGAGGGTGAATAATGTGGAAAATAATAATAATAATAGTAATAATAATAACAGTATTAATAATGACAATAATTGTAATGATAATAATTTGAATCAATTGATTGTTTTTCGAAGCGAAAAAAGTAATTTCCATAGACATAAAGAGTTCATCATCTGTGTGTGGGCTGTGATACTGACCGGGTGCCCAAACCGAAGCAGGTGGTTATCTTAGGGGGCCACACCCCGAGCCCTTGACCTAAAGGTCTAACCCACAAGGCATTGGAGCATCGTAAGGAGATGCAATCCCATGGTAGCCGGTGACCAGCGATTGGTTCATACGTCATTTGTTCCCGCAGGATACTGGAGCCCATGTGCACCATTGGTTTGTGATCCGGTTAAAGCGCCGGACATTCGCTTTTCGTCCTCTCATTTTCGTAAACAACACCCCCGCCACGAGAAGGCAATGAGTAGGACTTCCCTGGCAGAGGCTGTATACGCGTGGCCGTGTGAGAGTATTTCGAGAGGGAGAGCGGACTCACCCCACTCTCGGCCGTATCAGGGCATTCGTGGGCATCGAAATGAGAGAGCATAATTTGTTGGTAGGAAGGGGTCAATCTGGTTGATTTCGAAAACTAGTTTCAGACGAACTAATGATGAACATGCGCTGTAGGATTCTAAATGAAAGAAAACCACATAAACCTGATTTAGTAGTCAGTTACCATGGCATTGCGTCTTTTCATGTTAGTATACTGTCTTATGAATTTGATATCTAAGTTGAAGGCTGTGTAGTCATCATACAAAACACCACGTGTCTAAGTTGATGCACAAGGTCACTCAATGTATTCATATAAAACCTGAGTATTTTATTAAAGAGAAGGAATGCGACGTTTAGTAGCTTTTTTCCTAATATAAAATATTCATGTTGGATTAAGATATTTCAAAACATTTTTATTTTCCTTTTGTTATAACTGAAGTGTCGTCGATCTCTTGAGTGAATTTGTTTTTAGAGAAACCTCATATCGAAGCGGATTTACACTATCATATAAATTGTCAGGGATAGGCGTGTTCGAGTTTCGTTTGGTCTTTTAATCTACAATTATTAGTTAGTAATTCCAACTATAATAGGTATAATTCGAGATGTGTATCCGCACAAAGCATGTAATGAGGATATTACTATGATCTGTAAACATGAACAGCATATGTATTAGAGTTCTACTATCGTAACATCAGATAATTGAGAACAAGAAGCGTATGTGTGCAGCAGTGTATCTGTGAACATGAATCCATGTGTCATGCTATGAGGTGCTCAAAAATGGAACGGAAGATCAAAGGTTATGTTTTTACAAAGAAAAATTTTACAGTCAATAAATGTAATTGTACAAATTCCGGGAATTAATGAAAGAAATGCAAATAGTGGCGAAAACTAATTACAAAATATGTCTGTTTTAACTATCTCCACATAGCTCTCCACAGTGTCCGGAGGTAACACTGGTATGTCAAACAAATCGGGGAAAATAAGATTACATGCCTACAAAAATAAACACAAAGGAAAGGCAAAAATAAATGTGTAATGATATTTTATGGAAAAAGGTTTTTGCTAATAGATGTATGTATATTACGGAATATGATATGGACACTAGTGATCTACGATATGTAAGTTTACAGAGTAATGTGTATGTAGTTGAGCACTACAGAAATGAAAGTACAATCAATAATAGTGTCTTTGGTTGACAATGATAATAATGTCACATTGCAAGTAGCACCATAACACTAGGACAGAAAAGTTCACGATAATAATAGTAGCTGCAACAACTTCAACAAATCACAATATTATTCATTTAGGTCAACCACATCAGGTTCACGTATATGAATTACGATATACTTGATCATCGACCTCCTGAAATATATAAAGAAAAAGATTATTAGCGAAGCTGACAGATTGTCATATTATGTTTAAAACCTTCGTTATTTTGGTTTCGATATCTTTTTTCCCTTTCTATTCTTCTCTCTTTGTTATTATTATCCAACAGAAAGTTATGCGAATGTTAACATGTACAATGTCTAAATTGGTATATGGTGTAGATTTGTCAGATTTACCTCAAGAAAAGAAAGGACCTCGAATTAAGCGTTTAGCAGGTATTTTCAATTTGTGCAATCCACACATCTCTATTTTATTTGTCTTTCAAAATAACAACTAGTTATACAAAACATTAACAAATTAAATTGTTCGTACATTTCGTGTTACATTGTGCTATTATTAGTTATCGTTCAAGTGTACTATCACATTAGAAATGAAATATGAGTAGATGGACAAATAGATAGATATTGTACAAGCCAAGTTGAGAGTTCATGTAAATTAACTCCACATATGCATATTACAAATATGTATGGTTTAGTAAAGTGTTTTACATTTTTATTATTAAATTTCTCATTACCTCTTTAGCTAAACTCAAAGAATAAATTATTTTTCAAATTTAATTTTATTCTATATGTACACATATGTCTATATAAATTGATTATGCATAGACGTTGTAGGTATAGGAAATGGGCAAATCAACCATCATCTCATAATTTTCTATCCATTTAATTTACTATTTCGCCCGAATAATAATTATTATTATTATTTACACAACTTTTATGGGACATAAGCTAATGTTCATGATCATGATAAAGAATTCAATGATGGTGAGCAAAAAATAATCTAAATTTACCCCAAAAAAGAAAACAAATAAAATAAACAATAGCAAATGAATCTGAAGTGGAAACATCACGAAATATTACGTATATGAATTATGTTGTTCCTTTTTAATTCTGAATAAATAATGCATTCATATCGCCTATTGAATTTATTATTATTAGTAGTAGTGTGGTGTATGCTACTGATTTTTATAGATATAAGTAGTATGTGGCGCTGATCAGATGTGGAGTGCCTATCAAAAGAAGGTTAAGGAAATTGAACTGAAACAAACAGAAAACGAAACATAAAGGAATTGAGAGTTGCAAAAATCATGAAGGATGTAAAAGACAACTGATGGAAGATGTGCAAATTATGCATTTAATGTACGGTTTTTATAAATCTCGAAGACACTCCGTAATTTTTCATTAAACAACAAATTGATTATCTCCACCTAAGTATTCATCCACTACAGTTGTAGTTGAGCTGAATTTTATTTAATTATTTGTTTTTTCTAAGAAAAATGTAATGATATCGATTATCTTACCGCTTTTATTATGCATAAATTCAATGGCATAGTTATTTCCTGTCAGTGGTTCTCTTCAAAAATTTAAAACAAAAGGTAGAAAAAAACAACAATATTATTTGCAAAATATGATGAATTCAAGTTGTATTTTGTATCCTCCTGTTTAAGTTATACATTCAGCGCAATAATTTTAGTTATTTCCAGTTAGTAAAATATTGCGGAATTTGTATATCAACGGAGAGTAAGTTAAATAATAAAGACCGTTCAATGAAGAAAATTTTCTCTTCGATGATCTCACCTACTCAATCTGTACATTTATGCTCATAGTTAATTTTATTTGCTAATGATAGTAATGTAGTAAAAGGATAGTGTTGGATAAGTTGAAAAAAAACTTGAAGTGGTCTCTTATCATGAATTGTTTATGAAAATCAGATATTAAAAGGAAGTTATATGATGGTGGCCTAATGAAAGCGGTAAGATGAACATAATTGTCCATTTCCTGCTTCGGTTTGGGCACCCGGGCAGTATCCCAGCCTTCACGCAAATCAAATGAGGTTTGTGTGGCTCATATGTATTTGGTGCCCCCCTTGTATCTATGTGTTCAAATAAATAAATAAATTGTCCACTTGATAGCTGTTGAGAACAGTTCTGTAATAGTGACTGATTAGTATTGACGTAGTGGTCTGGCTTGCCTATCGTAATGAACCAATCGAACTATACTGGTCTTAACAATCGTTCCTCAAGTTCCTACCACGCCAGACAAATCGGTTGAAGAGCTGTAGGACTAAAAGCAGCAAACCCAAGGTCCGAGGGCGAAGTCGTACTGCTGACTGTACAAAAGTGTAACAACAGTAAGGTGTTTCCTTCAGACAACCAGCATAAGAACGATGCTGCTTTCCCTACAAGGGAAGGGTGGGGTTAGAAAAGGTCGACCCTAAAAATGCACATTTCGCCCTATCCCACGGATATCCGTTTCTGGCAGTAAGCTTCCAACAAGTACGGAACTAATACGAAAATTATTCACAACAAGACAGTGTGTGACCGGCCTCAAGCAGTTGTGCCTTGGGCACTGTAGTCACGCTCTCAGGTCACTAAGACCACCTGTAACCCGATTTCCTTTTCAGGTACCTCTAGGAGGACCCTTCTACGGTGTGAGCAACCGGGAAATATAAACCGCCCTCATACCTCTAACAGCACTCAAGATCACTGGGGATTGGAAAAAACAATGGATTACGAGTGACAGAAAGAAAGTTTAAGATCACGAAAGGATAAGCAATCTAACATACTGTTTTTATTTGAATGGAAATGAAGTTAAGGATTAGTTTTATCAGGGTTCTTATATTTGCTTTGGGCTATATTTCTAGAATATTTTTAAGATAATTTTGTGCAATGTAACAAACTAGTCTGAAAGATTCATAAATAAACAGGTGAACTATTACCTCAAGCAATCTTGAATACCACCTAAAATCTTTAATTTTTAATTTTGTATAGTTTTCAAACAACTTGTTCTCTATTGATGGACAATTCGTTTTTTGAATTTCACATTTTTTTATTAAATGAAAAGTAACCAAGCATATACATGTAGCTGAAGAGGAACCACCTCAATACAACATTCATTGTATTCTGCAATATAGATTCTTCTTGTTTTGTGTAATTTTTACAAACTTTCCACCTTTTTTTCACCAAATCTATGACGTGTTAGTTACGTAATTGATTGGTCTGATGTTACATATGTGCGAAGTGTATTTACTCACCTGTTTGTTTTCTTTTTGTATTTGTTTACAGGTTCTACTAATCCAGCTACTAGAACTCGACCGAAATCATTGACTGAAGCAGCGTTGAATTATCATAATGACAATACTATTATTACTACTACTACTACTACTAATATTACTGCTACTACTACTACTACTACTACTACTACTGCTACTACTGCTTATAATAGCGGTAGTTTAGCAACCGTTTTATCATCACCTCCTGCGCCTTATGCTAGTGCATTATCGGTTTTAAGTATTCATCAAAATTCACTCGACGATGATAATTTGGCGTTAAATACTGATTCCATTGAACTACATTTATCATCACAGGAGAATTCACAAAAACAATTTGCTACGTATAATGAACTGAAAGCATCAAGAAATGATAATAATACTAGGCCATGCATTGAAAAATGGACTTTTGACCCTGGATCCTCTGAAAACTATGCATTGGATAATAATAGTAATGGTAATGTAGTGCATAGCTATATCTCTTCTAATGTATCTTCAATTAATGGCACTCATGATGAGTCGAACTCACAGGTGTTAAGTAATGATTTAACAGAGGTATATGGTAATCATGATCTGCATAGTTCACGGTCTATTTCTCATGAATTATCAAATCAAAATGAATCAAAGCGATTTAATGTAACCGTTAAAAGTGAAATATCGATATCAGAAAGTAGACGTATGTCATCTGTAAGACGTGCAACAAGTGAAATCACGCTGGAAGTTGTTAAGGTAATGATTACCTCCATTTTTTTCTTATTTCACTTTGTTTTAAAAATAGATTTAGATTTCCCATCATTAATACCATTCTCCTATTTCACTTTCGAAAGTACACTTTTATTGGTAATAATAATAATTCATGTACAAACATTTTTTGAAATAATGGCCTAGTTCTTCCATTTCTTACTGTTAACTTCAAAAAGTATGTTCCAATGTGTTCTACGCTAAGTTCACATAATAATTTTGATAGGAAACTGTTTTCTTGGTTCTAGTCTGTTCGATATATTCGGGTAGTTTTTGTATCTGAGTAGTAGTGTGACAGGTGAAATCTGATTATGACAAAAGCCTAGAGCGATATGTCCGATTGTTATTCCGTACGAAGTCAATACTTGACTCCGAATGACAATAAAAGCTCCGCATTTGAACTGTCCAGCTCAAAGAACTCAGCACTACCGAAAGGATCCAACTAAGCTGCAAATCTTCATCGTTTCAGTATCCCAAACCGGTTCATGTTGGGTTCTGTAGAGACATTTTTATCTCTGTAAATGATAACTTGAATCATACTTGTGTGTTGATGACTTATTTTTACTCTTTTCGGCGAATTCATTTTCAAAGCTGTACAATCGCAAATATATATACTTATTTTTACAGGGTGATAATAATACTGATAATAAACTTATGATATTATTATTATTATTACCCTGTAAAAATAAGTATATATATTTGCGATTGTACAGCTTTGAAAATGAATTCGCCGAAAAGAGAACTCTTCGCTGAACTAATCTTTCTTTCTTATTTAATGTCATAATGGGTGTATTCCGTTTATTTTTACTCAGCTCTCTACGGGATTTTCTACATTCGATATAGAAACTGAATAAGTAGTTTTCATTTCCTATGTTTCTCTAGGGCAATGGTCATTATTCATCAGGAGAAACTACTCTAAAACTCTCCCGTTATTGGTTTGAATGGAATTCATCCATATAATTAAGTATGTGATGGTAATCAAAAGTCTATCACAGTGGTTCTTTCGTAGTCATAATTTATCTTACAAATCTCAATCATTCTTGATTATAATAAAGACAACGATGTATGGTAATATACATATAAAACACCAGTGATTAGAAGATTGAATTTCTGACGTTTCACAACCTAGAGCAATAAATAACCGTTTATTTATCTCTAGTTCTTGACCTACATCACTATTTCTGTATTTTCTTCATTTTAGTTCATTTTCTTTTACTGTGTTTTTGAGAATTTTCGAAACTTGAACCGAAGTACTTTTTTTCTACATTTCGTCTCCATTTATCTATCTGTTTGTTTGTTTATTGAAATTAGCCAATCATGAAAAGAACAGAAGATTTGTTCTGGGAACTGCTGATACGTAGAGTCACTGTAAATGAGATCTTGATCTTAATACTACAGTTTTGTCTATATACTTTCATTATACACAAGTCTGTTTTGTTTCTAAAATATCAATATGGAAAACAATCCCATATCTAATTCCTTATTTAACTAACAGGCTAAATAATCAGCCCACTTTCATGCTTTAAGTTTATTAACTGATTAAAGATACCCCAAAAAGAATTATAATTGAGGTTAATTAATTATACTCTTTTAATGCTTTCGTAGACAGTAATTAATTCATTTGCAACTCTATAACAAATTTTTTTTAAATTTCACTACATCTTTGCTTGCAGATTATATATGTTTCTTGGTACAAGTTAATACTCACTACAATTCAGTTATTTTTTCTATTTCAGTTGTCGAAAAGCAGTTATTATATATATATGTATATTGTAGAACAGATATATTGTATATATTTTTTAAGCTTACTTTAATACATCTACTTTTTACTCCCAGAATCACCATTCTGCTCCACAAGCTATGGAGTCTTCATGTAACCCGAGATTCAGCCGTCTTACTAGGGATGATCATGATTGTCAGTTACATCCTGAGTTGTCTAGCCATCACCGTTTGTCTGACTCACTTAATTTGCTCACAACCGTATCTACTGCAGCTCTTTTAGGCAGATTTTCTCATCCTGTAAGTATGTCTTTTACTGATGATAAACAACCAACATACTCCGAAAAAGCATCAGTCGTCCATCATTCGGGTTCCACGATATTTGCAATTAGTTGTTTAGAAGATTCCCTTTCATTGAGTCAAAATGGTCTCAATACAGGCAGTTGTGCTTCAGGGGAAGAAATTCCTAATGAATCTTTAAAGGTAAAAATGATGATCTGTTAGTGCTTGCATACGCTTGCTTAAGTATTTTCCAAATTATTGTTCCTTACAAGTTTACAAAACTAAGATATAATTGCCAGATTTCAAAAGTTTAACACATTTTCAGTCATATTTCATGAAATTAATGGGTTTCAAAATTTACACTTTGAGATTAGCTTTAAATTAAAACAGTAAAGTTTTACATCAGAATTGCTTATACTTTAGTTTTATTCTTAATAGTACTTGTTGTCACTTGGTCGTAACTGAAACTTTAGAAAGACTTTTAGTTTTGAATTCGGCTACTCTTCATTTCTCATTAACTTATTTGATAATCTAAGTTCATTTAGAAAGCTTTTCATTGATTATCACCAACAAAAATTGGAATTCGCCGATATTTAAGGAGTACAATCAGATCATAGCCTAAGATTATCTTGATTTATTCTCACTCATATTATAACTAGCTTATGTCTTAAGTAGTACTTATTTAAACATTGGTACAAGAAGGCACCAAATAGATATGCGTCACATAAATCATTCGATTTGTGTGAAGGCCCGGGTAGTGCCCAAACCGAAGAAGAGGGTTTTCTTAGGGGGCCACACTCGGAGCCTTTGACCTAAAGGTCTGATATACAAGGCAGTGGAGCAACGTCAGGAAATGCAGTCCCATGGTAGCCGGTGACCAACAATAGGTTCGTATGCCTTTTGTTTCTCCAGGATGTTGGAGCCGACGTGCATCATTGGTTTGGAATCAGGGTTTTCCAACTCCCTTAGATGGACCCTCCGTACCCACCACCAACCCGGTTAAAGCGCCGAATATTCGCTTTTCGTCCTCTAAATTTCATAAACACCCGTGACGCAAGAAGGCAGTAAGACTTCACTGGCAGTGGTTGTATGCACGTGGCCATGTGAGAACATTTCGAGAGGGAGAATTGACTCTCCTCACTCTCGACCGTACCAGGGCATTTGGGGGCCAGCAGTACGTATGATAACAATAATATTAATACAGATAGCAAAGTAATGTTTTTTTTAAAACTTGACATCTTGTCTGAGTATTCCCCACTATATATGTAGTCCGTGTTCTGTATCTACTGATTTATTCATGCTTCAAGCTTAAAAATCAGGCCATTATTTATTGGAGAATTAGCCACCCCAAAACTCAATTTTTTCAGTCGTTTTTAACATTGAGTCGTGTTACTTTTTTCGTTAGAATTTTATGTATAAACACGGTAGTCTTCGTATCGTTTTATTGGGGTTTATGTCTATAATTTGATCTCCTGCACACTAATTGCTCGGTTGCATTGTTTCATATTTAATCTATTGATTAATATTCTGTGCATTTTAAATGATTACGAGCCTTGTTCATCCAATGATTTTTTAAATCTATAACAAAAACAAATATTAGTCTTCACTGTGTAGTCGGTATTTTGATTAAAGTGTTCTCTTTCTTTTTCTTTTACTAAACATCTTATACTTAATACACATGTATTGTTGTTGTAATATAAAATTTAGTGTAATGATTTGCATTGTTTATTGTTTCATTTTAAGTCAACTGATATACTTTTCAATGTGCCAACTAATATTTGTGTAATTTATATTCATGAGAAATAGTGTAATGTGATGGTTAAATGTGCAAAGTAGTGTTGTGATTGATGAACAGCTTAAATAAATCTTACTTCTATCATTTCTTTTTGTGATCAATACATTGTCATTCGTAAAGAATATTTTACCCATTCATCATTGTTGCATAAATTTTTGTTTTCCATTTATGTCTTGTATAGTTTGATCTCGATTCACCTCAGAGTCCAGTGACAACTTATTTCGATGAAAGTATTGATGTAGGTACTTCAAGTAAGTAAAGATAGTTGTTTCTTTTTATTTGTATGATTAATATTATTTAAGGTGTGTTCGTTAAGTATTATTACGGTATTGAGGTGAGTTAGATTGATGCTATGTTAGTTATTTATATACTGTACCGTTTGCTCAGAATTGAGATTTTTGAAGTGTTATAAATTCTAGTTTCACGTTTGAATACATCATATTTCAACTGTTTACTTGAGTTGACTAGAAATAATTACAAAAATTGTCATTCATGATGAGCATCATCAACTTAAATTATATTGTCATCGAAAATATAGCTACAATCAAGTCCCTGCAATTAAATTTACTTAGTTATGAATTTTATAGTCTGTCATGCATGATATAGCAGATGTTAATCATTCACCTACATCTAAATTGTCGGGTGTGTTTGTCATTTCTCACTTCATGGAAGGAGGATTCTTCTCGAGGAAACCGAGTTACGAGGTGTTCTTGACAACTTAGTAACAATGACCAAAACCACAACTGCTTATGGCCGGTCACATACATCCTTTTTGTGATTACCTTTAGTTGTATTGTGTTCATATTTATACCGCCTTAACGACGGTGATACACGTGGCTAGGTGAAGTGTACTGTTTTTATACCGAACATTTCCCACCTCTCCCTGTTTTCGTTGTGGGAGCGTCATTGGCGAAGATACTGGTCGCCTAAAGGAAATGCCATGATTCCTTCATACCCTTTTACAGTTAGGAATAAGACTTCACCCCCAGATCATAAGTTTACCTCTCAACCTGGTCATCACCATATGCAAGCTAGAACACCACAACAAGGCAGCACCCACAGTTAGATAAATCTAAATTCAGTTCAATTTTGTAAATTTTTACTTGGGTTAACAAAACAATGAAGTTTCTCTTAAATATTTTTAATTTTCAGTAGTAATTATATTGATTTTCCTTAACTTGAAATAAACTATAGTATTCTTGAATCTAATGATAATAAATACCTTTTTTAAACTATCCTTACTCAGTGTTGTATGGGTCCTTAATGTTTACCACTTATAATTTGGTTAACTATCATTTAAATAAATAAGCATTTTGAAGGAAATCTTAAACTGATGGCCAGGGCAGAGAAAGTGGTTGTACGAATCTCTTTTGAATGCAAAGGTCAGGTTTGTGAATGGGTATCCTATGAAATTCATCGACAAACATATGATGGAGAAGAAGACAAGGACAAAGATACTCACCGTCCATAAGAAGGTACTATTCATAAAACTACAATTCATAAATAACACCATTGAAGAAATCTTGACTTAGAAACTAAGAAGAGCCGTACAAAAAAACATTTAATGCTGCCAGATTAAATGCCATCTTCTACAACTATCCCAAAATAGGAACAGCCAACAAAGACAGACTGCCTGAATTCGCCAAATCTATGTGTATCTATCGTTTCAACTGCTCCTGTGGAGCCAGTTATATTGGGCGAACAATTCAGCAAGTCCGTCATCGCATTACTGAACATCATCCGTCGTGGTTAAACAAAGGACAGGTAAAAGTGATTAAAAGTTCTATTCTCTCTCACTTGGTTGACACAGGTCATCAAGTCGAATTGAATAAAGCTTTTAAGGTTATCTACAATATCCCATCTAATCTTCCACATGGTTTACGAGTGCGCCTCTTGCACATTGCAGAAGCCATCGCAATCCATGTTCACAAACCTGACCTTTGCATTCAAATGAGCATTTGTTTTTTAAAATCATTGAATAATTTTTCCGAATCGATTTTTTGTTAAAATCGCCGTTTTTTCACTACTTAAGAACTGCTGACTTCCAACTTGTAGTTTCGTGGTCGCTCAATAATGGTCTACCGATAACCAACCTTAGTGGCAACATAACTAATTTTGACTGTAATAGTCTTTTATAACAAAATATTTGTAAAGAATGACCTTGTTTTCAAAGAGGCTACATACTTTGCTCATAAATTTTTCATCACTATAACAGTGACCCTTAAATTTATCTCCAGCTAGCTGTTTTCCTTATAGACTCAATTATTTGAGCAAGCCATCAAATGAGTTTCTGATCTTTTGAATTATTTGTTCATTTCTGTGTTAGAATAGGAAGTTTTCCAGGTCTATGGATTTTTAGATACACCATGCAACCCATTACTTTCCATTCAGCTGCTTAATAATTTTTGTTTTCTTGCATTCTGATAAGCATTGTTTTATCGATCAGCCTATATGGGTCTTTTTGAAAGTCTGTAAGTATACATAGGTTCTGTTGTGGTTCATTGGTTATTTTGTGTACAGGATAATATTAGACAAACATTGTAAACCTGTGTTTCTGTACGATTTAGTCAAAATGTATAAAATCAACATCTGATATATCCTCTCCATTAAGTGTCATTGCATTTTTAATTAAAAGATACAAAAGTTTGTATTCCAGTGTAATTTTCTCAAGATTTTCTATGTTATCGATCATAACTTTTAAAAAATATCATTCAGGTACATCTTGAATCGCATATTTTGATACATGTTTTAATACCTTGTAGATATTCCTAGATCATGTGATATACTAAGTGATGAACATTCCACGTTAGAACCAAATCGCAAAGATACATTGACTACTGTACCTTCACGAGTAGTTTCCAGTAAGTTATGATTCTTCATTGTGCTTCCTTATACCGTGTCGAATAATACTGTTTTACTGAAATCATGAACCAATCAATGTTTGACTACTAATGAAAATCTGGATGGGCGTTTCGTCGCGCAATATCGTTCATTGGTTGCAGTTACATATTAACACCGTTGGGTGCCAACTCAATGGTTTAGGTGTTAAGCATTCGCGCGCGACACCTAAGGTCCTGGGTTTGAGTCCCTCGTTCGGGGTTGTAGATGCTCGCTGCTGAGGAGCTCAATACCAGGACGAAACAACCCTCCAGTGCTTCCAGGTCTTTGATGATATTCTAACGTTAATCGGTTCATGACTTCAATGAAACTGAACAATCTCCACAACCCTATACTAATAATATTCTGTAATTATTATTTTCAGAATATATATATATATATAATCGTAGTTAAGAATTTTTTCAACATTTATACAAAAGATTTTCTTAATAATGCCTTGAATTCCAACGTAATTACACGCTTCTTACGTTGTGTCTTTTGATTAGCTACTAATGAGACTTCAAAATTACCTTCAACTGCATCAAACGATCAACTCGACGCAGCAGATCTACCTCGCTGTATTCTTGCTGGTGGCTCAGCTCTTGGATGGACTCATGAATCAGTTGTTATTTGTTGGCGTCGATTTTTAGGTATCCTAGGCAGTCTTCATAAAATTATTAACCCAACAACAATGAATGATATATTCAACTATTTAAATGAAATGACTTCATGTCTTTTAAAAATTAGAGCATATCAAAGTGTTCCTTCTGTAACCGAGACGTGTGTACAACCAATTCCACAATTTGTACCACCTGTGAATTTTATTGCACCAATATTATTTAATGTAAGTGTATTAGGAAATATTTCCCAGTGTCAACTGTTGAATTGTTTGTGTTTCCATTTGGTATATTTATATTATTGATTTAACATATTCTCTTTTCACAGTTGGTTTAGTCATTAAATACAAAAGACTTATCATGATATGTTAAACAGTCAAAGTTTATATTAAGCTATTTACCTATACTGGATACGTCAAAAAACCTATCTGTTATATCTTACAGTTTCCTTCTCAGTTAGTCTGTTATAGACAACGTAGAACTTGGCTAATATGTATATTGGTCTAAGTTCCTACTTCATATCAGCACGACTAGATGAAATGATCAAAATTCATTCTAGGGTAGTAGAAGTCGCAATAATGTCATTGGTAGCAAAAGAAAACCAGGCATAAACAGTATGAACTAAGAAGAAAGAACAAATCTGTGGGAACAAAAGTATGAGACGATTTCCCAACCCATCATCTAAGACTAGAAGTGAATGCATTTGGGACATCGCTAAACCGTGTAACTTAGTTGAATTATGATATAGTGTTACTTTAAAGGTAATGCAATAGTTTTGGATGTTAAATGTAAGTTGTAGGAAAACATAGGAAGATTTAAACCATTAGGTACTTTTTATTACTCATTGGCAAAAACGTTTTAATATGTAGTTGTGTTTTATACAGTCGCTTACTAATAGTATTCGTTCGTAAAAAATTATTTTTGACTTAATCAATGACAATAATAATTGTCATTAATAATTAAAGACGAATATATTTCACTCTCAATTCATATATTATTAGTGTTTTTTTCCTGTGATTCGTTATGTATGATTTATCTTCGGATCTTTTTTCTCCCTAGACAATGAGTCTTTCTGAAGAATTTATAGAAGCTAAAAGAATTGCTATACGTACACTAAGTGATATAGTTATACGTTCTCATGATGGATGTCCTGACCCAGAATTAATTGCTCATTTTTACCATCTTATTCATCAAATAAGCGTCGCAAAACAAGAGGTAATTCAGTTTGACAGTATTATTATTCATTTTGATCTAAACCTGATATTGTTCTATAAAACGTCTCACCTCCCTTAAACTGTATATGAATTCATGACTAGGCATTTTTTTTACTTCTTTCACTATATTCAGAACGACATATGAATGATAAACTGTAAAATTAGTTCTTAGCAACACATAGCGGTAGCTTAGTTCGTCTTTGAATTACAGTTATAAAAGTCTGAACCCTCCGTGAGGTGGTAGATCTCATATTTATAATGTGTTTGTTATCATGTACGCGAATGGGTACTTAAAAAGTGAGTTAAAAGATTACCGTTTTTCTTACATTTGTCAGAAATTGGAAGGGAAATTTATCACTCGTACAACCACTTGTTTCCTGTACATCTCAGTTTTAAGCTCTATAAATAGCTATCTTCCACACTGCCATCTGTTAAATGAATCATTTTGCTTGTTCATGTTCTTCACAAATTCGTTTGAGCTTCTTAATATCTGTAGACACTTTTCTTCTAGCAGGGGATCGAACCAATGAACGTGTACGGGTATTAAATCAGCAAGTATATAGACTATAGCTATACGTTACTGGTGACAATGGCGAAATTGTCGTATCTTAGTATGTTTATAAACTATCTCCGTTTGTGAATCTAAAGGCATCTTTAAGTTCTACAAATATTTTATCTTTCCTGTTTTTAGAACTATGTCTTCGAAGTTATCCGGTCATGTAATATGCGTTTGTTTGGGTCTTCACTTCCATCTACACACTTACTCATACTAGATTTCTTAAGCGATGTCAATATTGTTTTATCAAATCCTAACTGTGGCACGGAAGTGAGTACCTAATTTTATGAATGCACGAATTCTCATTCGTTTTATCAAATTATGAATGTTGATTTCACCTTTGTGCAATGGTTTTTTTTTGTTATCATAAATTGATCTCAATACCGTGTGGTATTAAGCTCTCCAAATTTTAGCAAAAAATTAAAACCATCTGGTATCCATAGTGAGATGGATATATATATATATATATATATATATATATATATATATATATTAGGAAAAGGTTCAGTATGGTTTTTCTCAACTTTAAGTTTGCTTCTGAGGAGCTGTTCCGTCCAGATACCCTCATTACTATCTCATCACCTTCGTAATTTCATCAACTGTCGCTATTTCCCAGCTCTACTCATGACTCTTAAATAATTCAGCAATCGATCATTAGAGAAAGATAAAGATAGATGAAAAAGGAAAATCAAAACTGATGGGAATCTGGAGTCTGGATTCATTTGTTAAGAAATCGTGCGTACATAAGATTCTGGAATGGTTTTAACTTCAGCACATGTCTGTGGTAACCTAGGCCACAATAATATCTCAATTATTAACAGCAGGCTCATGTTCTTATTTACTACATTACAATCTTGGACGAATGAATGCTTATGGCGAATGCCTGTTTATCTGCTTGCTACTCAGTATGAAACATTTATATATATATATGGCATACTGGCAATAATATGGATAGAGAGTAAATTCATTTTCAGGTATTGAATATAGTTCTTAAGAAAATTTCACTTCTTGATAGATAGTGAACCACCATAAATTTACAAAACCATATGATACTCACTATGTTTTTTGATGATGATTACGTAAATTGTTTTGTTTTTTACAATTATTTTTGTTTATTAATATCAATGATTTTGATTTGTTTCTTTGTTATTTTCTTAACCTAGATTCCACGTTCTGAAGCGATATCCATTATATTATCCCTACTATGTTATCCTTATCATTTTAATCATCTTGAATCAATCGATCCGATGTCAATGAAAGCTAAAACTATTTTGTGTATAGATTTAACAGTATGTGTTTCCGACTTTTTTTAACTGCTTATACTTATATTATTATCATATTCAGACAAGAGAAAAACTATTTTATATATATATATATATATCTTATAATTTTAACAATTGAATTCATGACCATTGAAAACCTAGAAGCACTGGACAGCCGTTTCGTCCTAGTATAAGAGTCTTTAGCAGTACGCACCCTCAAGAAAGATTATTTTATGTATATAATTGTAGTAGCGTGTTGTGATAACACTATTTTAAATTGGTGCAAATGAGTTAGGGGTGATGATAATGAGGTTGATGCATGTGATTCAACTTTTCTTTCTTTCTGTTATTGTTCTTTCTATACGTTCTTCTCGTAATAATTACCATTTATTCTTAATTCTTCACTTACTTTTATACGTAAAGCGCTTTTTATAAACACTTACTTACTTATGAGTAATACTAAATGATCTCATTAGATCTGTTTTTTAATGTCACTAGAACAAATTTCTATAAATGATAATCTACGTAATAGGTTGACATAAACCTCCTGCTGACTCGTAACGAAATTTATGAGCTTATAGCTAACCTTAAGCGAGAAGGGGAGAGAGGATGAGAAGCCTGACAGAATAATTTTTGAGATTATTAAAGATTGGAATCCTATTTTATCGGTTAGGTTGATTGATTTATTAACTGTAGTCTGAGAGTTGGAAAGGCTAGTTGAGAAAGATAATAAATTAGTTGATAAGATTGTAAATCGTCATTGATGTGGTGATCTGGGGTGATAACTTTGACCGACGTACATATATGCTAGATTCTACATTGCTTATTACCAACTAGATCTGATATTCAGTTGTGTTTTCGAACGATTTTGTCGATGTTTTCGGTCAGATTTTCAATTATCATTATTCTGTTGAAGACTATCATATCATTGAGATACACATACATATGTTTTACATCTGTTACCACTGATCAAATGATAGATTTTCATAGGTTATGTATTGTTACCACTTTCTGTTCTTCTATAGCTGTACTAGTATATGTGTTATGCCTAAATAAATGCTTTTAAATTCTTATCTAATCTCGTTTTTCTGATAGTTTGTTCAGCTAAAAACTGAGCTTTACACTACTACACATGAGCATCGACCATAGATTGTGATGCTTAACTGGTACACAATATTCCTGCATGCATCGTTCAAAATGACTTGTTTTCTAAGATTCATGCGATTCATGGTTTATATAGTTGGTGTGTCTTGCGAATTTCTTATGTAGAATGTTCAGTTCTGTTAATTTTTGAACTTGATTTCATAAACTGATTGTTTAGAGTTTACGTAGTATGCATTGTTCCGAGATACACGATCAAATTACTCTTGTTCGTAACAATTCATGTTTTATTTATGGTTTCATGGACAGGAAGTATTTCTAGTAATTTATGAAAGTATAAAATTTTGCTGGAATGTGTTGATTGCCTGGGAAAATAACTGTAAACCAGCCAAGGTTTACTCAACATTATCATTTCTCCTTTCATCTTTTGGGCTTAAAATAATAGTTCACTGTCTGAATTTAGGATGTGTAATCTGCACATACATAATACATTTATTGTGCTTCTGATTTTCATTTATTTATTGCCGTAATCGGAGGATCTGGAAATGTTTGTGCTCATTAGTTTATGGTTTTGACTAAGACAATTGCTCCAAGAGTTTCTATGTGTCCGTTACAAAACTACTATATTTCTACCGACTGTATAACTAATCTTATGGATGAATGTTCTCTGCACTGCCCATTTTGTGATGAGCCAAACATGTTCTCCACAACTAATGAACCTTCCTATTAATCTTTTACATATTGATTTTTTTTAAATCCAGTCAAAATTGGTTCGCAGTTTAATACAAGCTGTCTTGTCAGATCCGTCTGGAGAGGTTCGATGCCTGGCTATTACTGGTCTATCAATTTATTGTGTCATTGAACTGGTGAATTCATTTTCAAAGGAATCAGGAACTGTATCATCTGTCAGTTTTACATCAATGGACAATTTGTTTTTCGAATCTATCATAATTTTATTGGGAATGATGCGGTTTCAAAATAGGGCTGTATCTATCGTTGCAGTTGAGATGATCAATACGCTCGCTGAATATTGTCATCTTCTGCTATATCGTGATGCGAAATTACCCTCCCTAGTGTTGTTGGTAAGTTTTGCACAATTTATTATTGTTCAAACAGTTTATGTCACTTTTGTTATTGCTTATTTTAATATAAAACAATTTCATTGTTCACAAGTATTAATAATATATCTGGATTAATATTTGATGAATACATTGGTAGTAACAACTTGAAATCTGACACAGTAGTTCATTCTCTTAACTTTCCTACGCTTTATATGATTTCAACAAGTAAATAACGTTATTTTTTGCTTTCACTTCTTTTGTCTCTTAAGTTTTAAAGTAGGAAATGAAGAGACTTGATTTCCACACGAGTAAATGTGTCTATATATATATATATATATATATATATATATATATATATATATATATATATATTGATCGTGATCAATCTCGAAATTGTTCACATACAGTGTACTACACTGATCAGGTGATTGAATTTCATAGGTTAATTATTGTTACCACTTTATATCCCGCGTGGTGCGGGATCGTGGATGTGCACTGCTGAGGAGTCCCATACCAGGACGAAACGGCCGTCCAGTGCTTCCAGGTTTTCAATGGTGGTCTAGCTTCAACTGACTCATGATTTCAACCTGTGAAATTTCTAAAACTCTCCACAAAACCCATTCTGATATTAATAAAATAGTTTATTTGTTTGCATTATATCACTTTTCATCAATTATTCAAATTAATGATTATTAAGTGACATGGTTTTTTTATACTTTTTTGTGTTATAATATGTAGATTGTTTTTAAGCCTTAATAATGTGGTATTTATTTACTAATGTTAATACTATACATGCTCACCTGTTTCTTTTTTTCTATTTCACATAGTCACTTGCATGGACTTTATATTCTACGTGGGACAATACAAATCTTGACAGTATGTCATTAACTGATAAACAGGTAGGTCAAGTATATAAATATATATATAAATCCACTGAACAATATTTCTTCCTCATATAATGGTTTATAGAGATTATTTAATTCTGTTGTGTACATCACGAAGTGATCTTAGTTAAATTAGTTTTAAAAACCAGGAAGAACTGGAAATCAGTTTTGTTCTAGTATGCGACTCTTCAGCAGTACTCATCTTTAATCCCACTATGGGTCAAACCTATAATTTTTTAGGTCTTGAGGTGATCAATCAACTATTAAACCACTAAGCAACCATTTAGTCTTCTAACCTTATTCAATTCGTGGAATTTTGTAACCATTTGTCGATTCCATTGGTGCATATCTGTCTTACATCCGACATTGTTCAACTTTGCTAGTCACAACCGTTCAGTACTTTATGGTTTTCAATGGTTGTCTGACTAAGATCATTTTGTGACGTGAAACTATAAATTATTTTTTTTAGTTAACGCGGCTTTATCAATCTTGGTAATTAATAAGGATTTTCTTGTAAATTATTCACTTCCAAACATAAGACTTTATAATGCTAGCCTGTAATGTATACAAGGAGGTGGAAATCGATTAATCAGATTGAAATGCTAAATAAAATAATATAGGATATTATAACCGATGGTTCCAAGGCCACAAAAAGTATGCGTACTTGAGTTAAGCAATGGTCGTTATAAATGCTGACTGCCTAATGACTAGACAAAAAGAATTTAGTGAAAAGATTCTTCATATTCAAATATTTTTACAGTTAGATAAATAGCGACCTGGCTTTTACCAAATTTCAGTATTTCCCAACAATTCAGTTAATTTAAGAATGTTATAGTTTCATTTTGTCGAACAACAGTATTAGCGGTCTACCTTTGCCTTAAATGAATGTCCTTTAGAATTAGACCTATCAGTAATCTATAGCATATTGTTTGTTATTTTCTTCGAATTCTTTCTATTACTACTTTTAATGGAGATTTAAAAGTTTGATCAGTTTTTGTCATGATATATAAGATTGGTGCGATAAATGTGTCATTTTTTCCTTGGAACGTTTAACTGTTCTTTTAGCCCAATTGTTTTGTTCTGTTGTTTTCTCTCATTAAACATTACTCTCGTTGGATTTTTATACTGATCATATCTCCACTTATTTCTTCCGTGATTTGACTTTTTCACAGTTCTTTCATAGTCTTATTCAATCAATTATCGAATGGTCTATCCGTATACCGTATGATCAATTAATAAAGAATTTTGAAAATAAATCAGAATTAAAATTATTACCGGCATCGAATTTATTAGATACAATAATTGAAGTGTTATGCTTCATTATATCGAATAATACAAATTCACAAACTTTAATGAATTCAGTACAAAATTCCAATTATCCTCAATCTAAATACTTATCAAGTATTAACTTTACAGATCCTTTAGGAGAATACATTAATATATATAAACAGTCAATTGATATTAATTTATTCAATGTAAGTTATAATAATACTTTGACAGTTTATTCATCATAATATTTTGTTATTTTTTCAAATATATTTTACATATTATACAACCGATCAAACCATTATGTTTACTTTTATTTCTATGATGTAAAATATATTCATGTATAAGTCTAACAAGTTGTCATATGCTTCCAGTACAGTTCGATAACTCTATAGTGCATCATCGAATGAACTTTAAAATACTTCCACGTTATGTATGTAATGGCTTAATTTAAAATAAAAGTTCATATTATAACTGTTGAAGATAGATTCAACATAGATTTGTTGATTATCAACTTCGTATAATGATTGCGAAAGATAGAGATTTATTGCCCAAGTGAATGATTTTAATAGAGTTTGGTTCACTGAGCTGAATAGTTTAATTGGCAAGCTTTCATTTTTCTTCTAAACATCATCAGCATAAACTTAAGGTAGAAGTGAGGTTTTCGAATTTCCCTACATGACTGAAAGATTGTCCTATCGACCTCCATCTTGGTTGGTTGTTGTTGATCTTTGACTTGTTTGTGTCTGCAAATTTATTTTGATTACCTCTCGATTTGGTCAGGACAACAATAACTCATCAATGTCAAAGTCGACAGGACAAGCTGCCAGTCAGATATGAAGATATTTGAATACTTCTTCTACCTGAAGGTTATGTTGATGATTTTGTTCGTAAGAAGAATGAAAGCTTCCCAACTCAATGAATGAAACTTCATCAAAACTACAAAAGAATATGAACTGCACTACACCGTTGATAGGCTTGAAGATTGTTACATTTTGTACCAAACAGCAAAAATTTGTATCATTTAAATGGTTACATTTGAAAATAAAATGTTGTAACTGGTTGTTTGTACATCATAGATATTGTTTCTAAATCTGATATTCCACAGATTTTGTGCCTAAAGAAAGCTTTATAATTAGTCAGTCAGTCGTATGCAACATATTATCTGACATCGTAATATGTACTAATTTACTGGTATTTCCATAGTTCTATTTGCTTTAGTGTTCAACTGATTTTATAAATCACATTCTCGATGCACCATTCATTCATCATCAGAATATACCAGTTCTCCTTCATAGTGTTAATTATTCCCAAGTTCTACCTTATATCATTAATATCCTCCTGAATTAATTTATAAAATACATCATTCCCAACAATTTTAACTTTATATCTCTGTCTTTGACATGTCATGTTGCTTTTTGTATCAACCTGATCATATATATATATATATATATATATATATATATATATATATATATATATATATTGGGATGCATTCTGTAATTATTTCCGTTTAATTTTATTTTTGTACAAATTGTAGAGTTTATTATTAATATAGAATAAATGTATATACTCAATTCGCCGGATTAATACCATGGAAATCATTTTATAAGCTGTATAAATTAAATTTTAATTGTCATGTGATTTTCACTCTTTCTGTTTTTAGTTAAAATGTTCTCTATGGCATATTTATTGACAAATCAATATACAACAGTTTTATGTGTATCATAATGGTTTAATCTGTACATTGTGAAAAATTTCTGTCTTATTGAAAACATTCTTTTTTACTCAATAAAAGTCATCTGATTTGATAATAATAGTAATATTAAATAAACGTTTTATTTTTTGTTTGAGAGATATAATAAACCTCGGTGTTTTTATAATGGATTGTTGACTTAATCTCTAAAATATTTCAATATCCTTACGTACTTACTTATGCCTGTTACTCCCAATGGAGCATAGGCCGCCGACCAGCATTCTCCAACCCACTTCCGTTCTGGGCCTTCTTTTCTAGTTCTATCCAATTTTTGTTCATTCTACTCATTTCTTTCTCCATTTCTCGGTGTAATGTGTTGTTTAGTTTTTCTCTTCTCCTTTGGCCTTCAGGATTTCAAGTGGGGGCTTGTCTTGTGACACAGTGGGGTGCTTTCCTCAATATGTGTCTTATCCACTTGCAGCGCTTCTTCCTCCGCTGTGATCTGGTTTGTTCTCTCCCATAGTACGTTGCTGTTGATAGTGTCGGGCCAACGGATCTGAAGTATTTTTCGTAGATTTCATTATCCTACTTTTCATTTATTTTTCAAATTTTGTACCTCAATTATTCATTATATTTAACTTTTAAATGGCATTGATATATGTCTATTTATTGGTTTTTATAGGCTCCAAAATCTGACCTAGATCTATCCACAATGACAGCAAAATCTTGGATTGTAGCTAACGCAGAGAATAGTATGATTCTATATCATTATAATGAAGATATGAATAGTGCAATGGAGTCAGTACGACTAGCAGCACGAATGGCAATGAGTCATTTACTCAATCATATAGACCAGTTTCCAATGGTAGGTTTTTTATCAGTCAGATACTTTGTAATGTGTTTTTTGGTGACAGGAGGGATCTCAGTAAATTATGGATTTAAATCTCTGATTGTGAGTGATTATTTGTTTTACTATTACCTAAGCTTAATCATATACTTTCCAAACAGATATGAAAAATCAATCTGCAATAAAGTCATGTCACTAAAATGAACAATGAGGACAATTATTTTGTATTTATTCTTTGTATTTAACGAACTGGATCAAATTAGTAAAACAAAGACAAGGTGGAATGTGAGAAAGCTGCATCGATAAACATATTGATTGTCTAGAAGAAACACCTTACCCCCTGTATATTTGGCTCTGATGATGAGCTTACTGCTTTTAGTCTTAACGTTCTCTAACCAACCTGTCGTGCATGATGTAGCCTAAAGGAACAACTGTCCCACCTAATATGTCTCGATTATATCATCACGATATTCAGGTCTGACCATTACGTCAAGTTAATAGCTCTTATCGGGATCGAATTAGTATATTTCCAGATAGAATCCTTGGAAAATGTCATATGTATTACACGAATGCCCTCATTTTTTGTTTAATCTCCATTAAGAAGTCTGGGGTAGCGTTCAGCGAACTTTCCGCACAAACACAGAGAGCCCTGTTGGAGTTTGTCAATTTGCTACTCTTGTGTTAACTGCGTGTATACTGCTCAACAGTTCGCTTTGGTCTACTTTACGGTTATGAAACGTGGCCTATGAAAGTATAAGACATGCGTAGGGTGAAGATTTCTTATCATGGGCGTCTTCAAAACATTACTGGTGTTTCGTGGAATGACTGGATTAACAATGTTGAAATTAGGCCTAGCGTACTTATCAAAGGTGACAAACCGGCTAATTAAGTACTGAATCTTCATGCACTAAGGTTGTTTTGACGTATGTAACGTATGCCTAACTATCACCAACCTCAAAAATCATTGCCTACTAGAGTTGTTCACATTGGTGCAAATTCCTTTACTCTTTATCTTCCCCTCGATCTTGAGTTCCAGTATCGTTTCATATTTACCGCTCTACTTTGTTTTTTTGAAACCTTATCCCTGCGGTTTGACCTTGCTGTTTATTATTGACACTTCATTATTTCAATCTCTTTTGTCGCTTTCATCTCGTGCCAATCAGGTATGACCCTGTCTTCTATTCACTGATCACATTCTTATGCTTAGTAGATTGAATACACGTTTTAAACTTTAAAATAAATCAGTAAGGGGAAATGTCCATATAGTTCTGTTGTCATGGGCGGTGTCCAAAATCTAATACTGACACACGGTGTGCTATTCTCCCCCCTCCCCAACTGACTACTTAGGCGAAAAAGTGTATTGGGCTACGTAATAAAATGCACAAATACTCATTCTTATATATACCACTCTAATCCTTAGGAACTTGATCCATTTCTTACCGAGTGAAATGCACCCGTCCTTTAGGTCACTTCTGTTTGCTATCGATTGACCTTCTCATTAGTCTACTTCTGATTGACTCCCAATATCACATTTCCCTCCTGAAAAATAAGTTATGCTTCTTGGATTTAAATAAAATGTCGTCTTCTTGATGATTTCCTTAGGATCTGGCCATCACTGCTCTGATCCTGTTGCTCAAAATTGACTGTATCAATTAAATAATCTAGTTGCAAGTTCAAGCTAGGAGGTTTTTTTTTATCTTAATTTAATCGTCTATGGTGGGTATGGTTTATGTCACCCATTAGTAAACTGATGTTCAATTCTCTTCGCCTTGGGTTTATAATCTCATCTTCTTCTTTGTGGATACGTGTTATCAAATGAAGTCCGAATTTTCCTTCCGAACATTGACTCAGCAGCCGAGACACACTTAGGTGAAGATTTCGCCAGTCGTGCCCTTGCCTTGTGATTATCTTCAAAGTTACTAGAAAATTGCTACCTCCCTTTGTGTTATAACTTTTGGCTTGTGTGTCCCGTTAATGTATAACGTAATGATACCGCCAATTGGAGCAGTGAATTATCGATCGGACCAATGACACATAAAACCCGTGCGAGATGTCCAGAGTTTTTTGTCGGTCTTGCTTCCTGCCTAGTTCAGCCACTTAAATCCAGAACACCAATCTCAGTCTATGCGACATGAATCGTTTATTTCAAAACGTACTGGGTTTATATACCAGACAGACCACATCGTACCATAAAATAGGAAACAACATTTGTACAAGATTTAGCCAAAAGTGGCTGTGAGTGTGGGAGATAGTTATTAATAGGCAGGGCATAACTCGTATAATAATAGTTCATAGGTTAGAATAGAGCTCATATTAAGAGGGACATAAATATGAACAGTTTAGTTATTTAACAATTATACGATAAAAATATACGCATAGTATTGGTCCATAAATGTACCCCAAAAGTTACCATTCATTATGCTTATCGGGGCATAACACTTTGTGAATCGTATGAGGATATGGACATACTTGATTGCAAATCAAATTGGATGACTGATCGAGCATTTTTCTAATATGGATTACAAATTAGATTAAATAGATAATCAAACATTTTTATTTCTGTGATCCACTCAAGACCTACTAGGTTCAAGGATTCATCAGTAACATAGCATTTAGATTTGATTATTAGATAAATACATTCGACTGTACATTTGATAATTCCAGAAATTTTGATGGGAATGCCTGATGCATTCTTTATGCAATCGGTAGTAGGACCAATGCTTGGCCGACCAAGTCTGTGCTAAGTTTTGCGAGAAATCAAAGTAACATCGAATGCAGTCTCCAACTGCAAAGCGATAACACGATCATTAACATTAATGGCTAAATACTTGCATAAGCTTTGAGGGGTCATGCCCCTCAGTCCCAATAACTATTATGAATGCAACTTAGAACTCTCGGATTGCTCATTAACAAATGCTGCATACGAAACAAAATCATCTTCAGGTCTCTTAACAGTTCTAGGACAAGATTATAAACCCAGGGCGAAGATCATTTAACATCAATGAACTAATGAGCTACCAGTATACATGAGAAACTTTCGACATTTGAGACCTATATGGGTAGCGGATGTCATCTTAATAATAAATGACGCGATGTCCTATGTTAGTATAACAACAAACTTTGGTCTTCAAAATTAATATGAATGCACGTGTTGTACGAATTAGATTAGTCACCGGGTCACTCTCATTCTCATCTAAAGTTCATTGGAATTTATTGAGACTTGCTTGAATTTACATATTTCAAACATTTTATTGTTTACAGAATCAGTTATTAACATTCCCTAACATTTGTCATTATGTAAATGTTTGAAAAAATGTACATACATGTGTACTTTTTTAGTCGAAACAATGTGTACAACTGAATACATCCATACAAGAACGTCATGATCAGTCATCCCATAGTATATCATCTGCTCAAAAACAATTCGCTACTAACAATCATAATAATATGGATGATTTATCCGAATTAACAGCGGAGATTTTTGAACGAAATAATTTACAAATATTTGTGTTAGATCGTTCAATTATATTGACATTCCTATCATTACCCATTGTGAAACTGCCTGACCAATTGAGAAAGATCAATGATAACTTATTACCTACTACAGTTAGTAGTGATAAGGACAATACTGAACTACAAGTACTCGAATTCAACAATTCCACCTATTCTTATCTACCATTATCATATTTAAATTCTAACGATGTCGAAGTGGATTCATCAAAGTCTAGTTTGGTAACAGGTATGCATTTTGTGTTTATCCGATTGTTTTTTATTAATTTTATGAGTTTTGATGTATTCGTTGACTTATTTGGTACCAGTTAATCATTTACAATGTCTCATCACAAAGTAGAAACTAGTATATTCTTTATTATTATCATCATCATTATTTGTATCCATAGTGCTGGTCAAATCCTTTCTATTGATTAAGGATTGTTGTAACTAGTCTAAATGACATGATATTATGGCTTGAGTAGCTTATAGTCAGTGTCTTTGACTGCGAAACTATCATCCAAGTTTGAATCCTATGTAAATGATTATCCCTTGCTGATCAGTGCCAGCAAGCATTGAATCTAAATCTAAGGTTTCCAACCAATTACTTTCAATCACTTAAACACCTAATTTGTTTCCGGTTGATATTATGAAATGCATTCAGTTCATTGTTATCGTACCCTTTCGACTAAGTACATACATAAAATTCATTGTATTTGCTAAGTACTGTGTTTTATTTCACTTAGTTCATGTGTAATAGCTAGTTTAAACTGCGGTAATCTCTTCGTAGTTCACATCACAGACTGATCTTAGTTGAATAGCTATTGATAACCTGGGGAGGTTTGGTAGTTGTTTCGTCCCATTATGTGACTCCTCGACAGTCCACATCCACGACCCCACAACAAGGAATTGAATTCAGGACCTTCATTATTGCTTGCTAACTCCTCACCTCTAGACCACTAAGCCAGGATCCAGTGTTGTACTTGTCTGACTTCAGTCGGTTCGTGAAATCGCGCGGCGATTTCTCATTGCCTGCGTCAGACGATTGTCTTACACCATTGGATGCCAACTCAACCGCACGCAAGATCAAAGGTCGTAGGTCCAACTGTGGGTCGGATCATAAGTGTACTTTGTTGATTAGTCCTACATTAGGAAAAAACAACTGTGTAGTGCTTCCTGGTTTTTAAAGATTGTCTAGCTAACATTTGTTCGTCGTCTTAACTATAAGCGTTTTACGGTCCCCAGTAAACTACTTTTTGAGAACGCTTCTAAACTCAACCAATTATAGGTTTTTATTTATTAGAGAAGAACGATTGCTCAGGTGTAAGATTACTCTTTCATTCAGTTGTCGCTTCATTTTTTAGTGATTTTGTTGGATCACTAAGTCTACAAATTTTAATTTTAATAGAAAACTATTATGAATTGTTTTATGTCTTTATATGTATGCCAACATGTACATAGTTCTCAAATATTTTACTATATCATATTCTTATATTATTTTTCATTCAGATAAATTCTATACAAGAATTATTACACGTGATCTATCTGGTAAATATAGTTGGGATGTTTCTTATTTATATGCTAGTCTAGTTGATATGAAAGAAAAACAGGAAACTCAACAATTGAATGAACTTACAAATACTAATTTAGGACTGGTTGATTCTGATAATTCGAATTCACACTTGATTACACGCGATCCACCACCATGTCCTCCCCCAAGAGTAAATCCGCCCCCACTGACAACTAACAGGTTAACACCAAATACAATTGATCAACTCGATCGGCTAAGTGACGTAAGTTTGTTATACTTATCAAAACTGTTTCTTGTTAGTATGAGGTTGTGAAGATTGTTGGATTTGATTGAATTTGGATGTGTGGCATTACCCACCACAGACAATAGAAGATGGTCTCGCGATATCATGCATTGATTGAAGTTAGTCATTAACACTGTTACACGCTGTCTCATTGATCTCGAGGCTAAGCGATCGCTCACGAAACCAGTCTTTTCTCCGGAATCGTGGATGCAGTGCTGAGGATTCCCATACTAGGATAAAACGCCCGTTCACTGCTTTCACGTTCTCGATATTGGTCCAACTTGGATCGGTTCATGATTTCATTGTAACTTGTTTCTTCTGTATACCGCTGTTTTTCGATTTCACTAGAAAAAGTGTTTACGGAGCGTTTTGTCATTTACATTAGTACCACTTTCCAATTTAGTCTTGTTTTTTCTTCAAGTACTACTACTAATGTATCACTTTATTATATAAGATATTTGAATCGTGAAAATTGAAATCACAAACCAAAACCATTGAAAACCTGTAAATATTAGACGTGCAAGTACAGAACTCCTCATCAGTGCTCATCTGCGACCTGGAAACAAACTCAATATCGTGGATTTATTGATGTTCAACTTGTACATTAATAGACCCCAGTTCAATGATCTAGAGGTCAAACGTTCGCATGCGAGACTGAGAATCCTGGGCTCGATTCGTGGTTGCGAAGTTACAAATGTTCACTGTCGAATTATCTCGTACTTAAATAGAATAGATGTCCAGTCCTTCCCAGTTTTAAATGTTGTCCAACTTAGATCGGTTCGGGATATCAATGAAATCCAACAATCTCCACAACCCTATACTGTCGTAAATAAAATGTTCAAACCTTGATCAGTATTATATAGTAATTTCTGTTTTTATCTAACCATCATACAAAACAAAATGATTCTCTAGTCAAGGTATTAGTTCATGATTAGATCCGGCTGTTATTTCTTTTTTCAAAGTTTTAAGTGTTGTTCAACTTACATAAATAATCATGTGATTTAAAACTAGAAACGCAGTGTCATGGTAAATATATAATGTGTAGTGTTCTCGTTATCACTATCCTTTTTATTGCTATTTTTACTAGGTTCTAAGAGATTTAGCAATAACTAGTCCAGAATGTTCAATTAACTGGTGCACATCAAAGCTATGTGAATATGAAAATTCGAAAAATATTTCTGACAAAGAAAAAACCGCTTGTTTGAATATGGAGAAAGTGACATGTGATCAGATTACTGCTCAATATCAAATAGATGAGAATGTGAATCATCGAAAGTTACCAGATATTGATGTGTACGTATGGAAATTATGTATCTAATGTTTTTTTTTCTTAATCAATTTTACAAATTTCACTGAACTAGTATCAAATTAATGTGATTGTCAAGTTTTCTATTTCACATCCAGTTAACACTTGATCAATCATATCAGCAAAATAACTTATGCTATGATTTTTTCCACATATATTCAATCATTTTGATTCGATACAACTAATGACATCATCGAGAGCTAGTTGTGTAATATTGTAAATTGATTGAAGTTAGACATGTGAATCACTAGACCGTCTGCTCGATGTTCTCAAAGCTAAGCCGCTGTCACAAGGTCTCAATGTCATGGTTTCAATCCTCGAGAGATACCGCAGTAGTAAAAAGTTCATACTTTTAATGATAACACTTTCATCTTCTGACTTTTCAGGGGTTGTTCTTTTACCAAGACGTTCACTTGTTGACTCTAAGTTTGCAGATAAAAGTTTTGCTTGATGAAGACGCTGACGAAGTTCACTCTTTGACCACTTTAAATAATAATGCAACCATTTTTGGAATGCAGTTATCTTTCTTTCAAGTTCAAAATCTTGCTTCACAACTGGCTTGCGTCAGCTCATGAATAAATGACATTAAGTGAAGTAGTTGGACGCATCGATTGCTTTACTTATCTTGGGAGTCTTATCAGTCCTGACGATCTGGTGTCCAATGAACTCACGGCACGGATTTAAAAGGCTCGATTAACTTTTTCCAACTCTCCTCACTTATGGCGTACGCGAGATATCTGTCTATCAAGTAAAGGACAAAATTACTGCACAGCAGTATGCTCCGTTCTACTTTATGGGTGTCAAACATGACCATTAAAAGTAGGGTGTATTCATAGTTTACTGATTTTTGATTATATGTATTTTTGAAGTATTAGTCGTGTATTTTGGGACCACTGAGTAAGCAATGATTGTGGTAGGAGTCAATATTTAGAAACACTGAAAAAAAAATGTCGATTCATTCAGCTTGTCATACTTCATGTTATAATATACAGACAATAAATTGACCAAATAATAATAAATATTTCGAAATACTAGTGCTCACAATAAAAATTAGTCACTACAAAAATATGATTCACAAGGAACAAATAAAGTTAACATGTATCTTATTTAAATACCATAGAAAGATCAAAACTTATTTATAAAATGAAGGTTAATACACCAAACTACTCTAATTGATGTATGTAATTGCTTCACCTACAGTTAATCCATTATTAGCCAATTCTCAAAGTAGGCAATAACTACAGACATCAAATAAAATATCTCTTAATCACCTCAATCAATAAAAGTTTGCAGCTAATTCACTACATCATCTGTCTACAACCTTACACGTGATCCTAAAAATAATTCTAAAACACATGCATAATCTACCTTATTTTTTGTTTGTTTACATTCCATAAAATTATGCAAAATATACTTTTATACAATATACTTGTTATTTGATGAATATGCATATATTATACCATCATAAGTTATTTCAATTGATAATAAAAAATTTCAGATTATTTCGATATCCATGCGAAAAATTCATCTATTACCAGATCATTTAATCAAGTAGATTAATCATGTATTACCGCTGTTTACATGGGGTTTTTTCCAAAAAAATCTATGTAGACGATCCCATCTTCATTGGAAACTAACTCTTCAAGTTTATTATAAACATTTGCTATTTTATTTACAATGCTAATTTCTTCATGTTTTGATTTTTTTTTATTCTTTTCTTTACATTTATTCCATTAGATTATCACTATATAACTCTCATATATCTTTACCAAAAACTGGTTATAGAAATTCTCTGAAGTATACAATACGTTCATTGATCAATGATAAGAAAATAAATGTTCAAGAATTAGAATCAATGAAACAAAATACTTTACAATTTTATAATTCGCGTCATTTATTAAATCAACTAGGTTATTTATCTTGGAAGCATAGACCTACCGTTGAATTATTACAAATATCTCCAGCTCTTATACGTGAATTAAAACATTTGGATCATCTTGGATCGTTAGTTCATTTTAAATTTTTAAAAAATTTTTTTACTCTAATGATAAAGGTTGTAACCGATTATCAGTTCCCCTTTAAGATGACAGGTACAGCTTGCTAACCGGTTCTAACTATGATATGAAACTTAGGTCCAAGGCTTTGTGTCGGCTGTCTGCAACCAAACTAACATCTCAAAATAGTAATGCCAATGTTAGAAATCACTTAGATTAATTGTTATAGTGTAAATTTGATCGATCGATTTCGATCAGCGCCAAGTCATTAGACAAAAATGAAATTGGTCACTATTCAGTTCTTGTAGAATCTCAGTTTTAAATACAATGGATCATTGTGTATTTCCCGGTGTTTCATAAGCACAGAATCTATAGTTTGCTGTCATCAGACCATATGATAGCTGTCATCAACTGATAATGGTATGATGTATGATGTTCACTGTAAATCATGAAATCGAGAATATTTTATCACTGATAGATAAGCTGTGATAATTGAAACTAGTCAAATTGATATGCTAACCAGGAATTCCTAGAACTATCAAACAGAGCTCGTCGAGCACAATTGGAATTGATTGTATTTGAATTTCGAATTAGACGCAGAATAATGTACAAAGAAATAATCACTTAGCACAAAAAATATTAACAACACCGTTTTCAAATGTATAAGGGCTTGTACTTCCCCTTTGTTGATGTACTGAGGGCTATAATTGATCATTCTTTGATTCGCTTATAGATATCCTGAGTGTATTGCTTCAATGATATTATTTATTCACAAGTTTTGATTATCGTTGGTTAGTAGTGGCTAGCATTCAAATCTAGATACTCAGTATCTCAGGAGTATATCTCGGTCTGAACACTAAAACTTGGATGCAGATCACTCTAGTCAATAAGCCACCTAAATAAAATACGCATCCTGAATTCTTTTTGAATTCTTCATAGTGATTTTTAATTTGAATAGATGTTGATTTTAAACACTCTTTTTTCTTATTAAATATCCATACTAATAGGTCATGAATTCACGTAAAGCTGTATGTAACCATATATGTGTCTATAACTGTATTGCTAATGTTCTTATATATTATTTCAGGCGCGAAACTCATAAACTTGCTATATTCTATGTTGGAGCAGGACAAGAAGATAAACAGTCTATTTTATCAAATCAAACGGCTAGTTTAGAATTTGAAAATTTTGTAGCTGGTCTTGGCTGGGAGGTTGATTTACTTAAACATAAAGGATTTCGTGGTGGGTTGGAATGTAGTGGACGTGCTGGTTTATCCACACCATATTATGCAACATCTACTTTAGAAGTTATTTTTCATGTTTCAACAAGAATGCCTTCATCTACTCAAGAAGATTTAAAGGTTAGTTTGTTTTTTTATTTTCTTTTGCTCATATTTTTACTCTGGCGATCTGTTTAGTTTATTTGCTGGTCAATCCACTCAAACTTGCCTATCATTTGCTTCATGACTTTTAGAAAACATTAGCTTGGTAGATATAGCCAATAAATTATCAGCTTAATGAAAAGCGAAATACTGGTTTCTTGTAGAATTGGTGCAGTTTACTGAAGAGTAATAGACTTAAACATATACATGAAATTGACACATCACTAACAACTAAATGCTTCATTACCAACTATTTTTATGACTATTTCCAACTCCAGTCTGCACTAAGCTTCCAAACTTTCTGCGTTTATTGCATGCGAGCAAAATAAATATATAAATCATAGAAAATAATACCATAAGTACTGTGGTGGGTGCTACTCAAAAGATTGCTTATAAGTAGTATGTAGCAGAGCGGCCCATGGGAGTTTCTGCAGTCGACAACCAAATACAGGATAATCAGGAAGCCAAAAGCACGATGAGTTCACAATGCTTATGAGATCAGATGAGAAACTATAGGAGACAGTCTACAACCAGTTGGGTTGCGGAACACATAACAGATACAAATGGAAGTGTATACATTTCATAAACAATCCATGTTTGCTCTAAATAAATACATATATTCCATCTGGATTTGATTTGTTCGTACGTTTTAGTGCTTTCCACGACTATTTAAAAAGTACTATATATTCGACGATACTTGAAAATACAAACTCCCGATATATTATACCCTATATTTGGTACTGATTTTCTGTCTTCACATAAATATCGACTTTCAGCTGCAGGTACGCCTTCCTGATGAGTCCCTCGTAGCGCGAAACAGTCGTCTTGAGTTATAGGGCTAGCCCAAACTCATCTGTTCTGTATCTAAGGTTGCTTTAAATGAGCTATTTGACTCTTTTAACTAATTTACTGCACATAGTTACATCAGCAATAAAACTTCACCGTCTATAATCCCTGCTAAGATTAGTTATTTACACTCCATTCAACGATATTTAGTAATAACTGTTATAAAATTGCGATAAAATTGTTATTTTTGAATGCATAATGACTTATTATTGTATTGTTTGATCCAATGGTGGATTTGATATATGTACCTTCTTACCATTGTATCACTGTACATGGTCGATTTGGAACATTAGCTTTTCATACCCCTTTCTTGGTGAAGCGCATAAACACTTCAGGTTTGTAACTTTTTATGTTGATTATCATCCATCTACGAATACATCTCTTGGAGGTAAAATACAAATTATTGTATGTGATTTTACACTTCAGTACAGTCATCGTAATTAATTTGGTGATACAACTAAGTTTTTGTTACATCATACGATTAAAATTGTCAACTAGTTTTCTGAAATACACTAAATATTTTAAATAGCAGAAAGTTTTTTTTTGTAAAATTTCTAGTTCCTGATACACCATTTCACATAGTCTAGACTAAATAAACAAATTCATACATCACTTTCATTGTTGAATGACTTCCTCACAGTTCTTTTTTCTTCCAAATCAATTCTTTTTTTCTAATGCTACCAGTATAAACATTTGGGAAACGATGAAATTATGATTATATGGAATGAGAATTCACGTGCTTTTAGACGAAGTATATTACGTACACAATTCGGCGATGTATTAATCATTATTTCACCTTTACTTAATGGATTGTTTAAAGTTGAAGTACGACGTGAAGCCCAGGTTTGTCACATCGGCTAGATTATTTTGCATTTCCCGTTGATCATTTTCGATTTTCTGTTTTTCATTTCTTCCGCTATTTGATTAGTTTTCTCCGTCTCCCACATTGGCCAGACATTCTATCTACCTCTATTAGTTTTTACTCTGGTTGTCAGAAGAGGAGTCGTCGACCTCATAACGTCTGTAGAATCTCGGGTTTTACTATGAGGCGTCACAACTCTCCTGTAAGAAAACCCTTCGACTCTAAACTCAAAGTTCTGGTAGTTTCTGTTTGGCAGTGTTTTTTACGTGGTGCAATTGCTAACCCCCACTCCCAAACCTTCTCTTTTATTCGAGCATGTGATTGATAGAAAATCTAGGAGGACTACATGCGGAGTTCTTGTTTAAATTACTGCGATAAATTGGTTATGATAAATAGTCGTTCAATATCTTACACGTTTTGTTGCCTACTATTCTATGCTGAAGGGCGAATGTCAGTAATCCATAAATCAACTACATTTCACGGGAGATTTACAACATTCTCGATGCTGACGTTCTGCTACAGTTCGGATTCAACTGTTATGTAATTATTTATCTTGCAACACAACACACCATTTTTTTAAAATTTTATATAATATGTAATTTTATCATTTGAATGATGACTGAACTTTTGATGAATATAAACTTTCAGCTTGAGTATTATAGGAAGTTCGTACTTAAAATTCGTGTCAATATCTTATTTCAATATCGCAAATAAAAATCAGTATATTCCTTTCATTGAATACCATTGTTACCCGTACAACCTTATCTTTTATTGAATAAACTATGGGATAAGCATGTACATGTGCATTTCATAACAGTTGCCTTATCAAAAGTTTATTTATGTAAAAGGAAGTAGGTATGGATCAAAATTATAGTCTACATCGTTTTTTCTCATTTGGTTCATTTGTAAAATTGACTTCAATATAATTTCCAAATGATTTTAATTTATGGTCTCTAATGCCCTCTCTTCATGTTTGCATTTCTTTTCTTTGTTGTGATATATATATATATATATATATATATATATATATATATATATATATATATATATAAGATGTTTATTAAATACCCTTCTATGTGTTCCTTTCCGAATTAATAAAGGTTGGTTTATTTGGACCAATTGTGGAAAATGCTATTTTAACTGCAAATGTTCTACCAGGTCTAGTCCGTGCTACAGCTATTAATGCTAGTCGTGCTGTTCAAGCTACTAAACCGGGATATCGTCATCCGTATCCTTTCTTGATGATTTCGTAATTAATTATATAATTTTCAAGTTCCTTCTATCATTACGTTAAGGGTATTGTCTCCAAGTATATATTATGTTGTTTTCTTTGTTTGTCACTTATCAAAAACTTAATAGTTTTGATCTTGAACACTTTATTGCTGGGATCCAGTTGGTTAATGTTCCATTATCTCAGCTGTTTAATTGACTCCTTCATTTTTTTTCTCATCGCATCTGATACCACCAAATGATCCAGTCTCGAGTAGTCTATAAACTTCTTTATTAGAGATTTCTCGAAACCGTTTGTTTAAGATATAACTATTTAGGCCAAAAATTGATGTTATAAATTATCACTATCAAAGGTGCACATATAACTCATATCTCAACCCACCATTCATCATCCAATTTCAAATAATTTTCGATATGGTGCGGCAATCATTTAATTTCGTTAATATGCACTACTAAGAAGTCCTATACTAGCCCATCTTAGTTTTCAATGATAAATAGTACTTACAATCGTCGCATATATATTGATCAGGATTGTTTATAGATACAATGCTTCTATCTTAACTCAGTAATTTTTCAATTTATTTCTTAAAAAAACGAAGATATGAGGATCGTGCTTCAAGTCTACGACAAATAATATCCAAGTATACATTGTCAACATGCTTTGAAGAATACGCTGAATCGATACTTTTGCCAAATTCAAAAAGTGGTAACTTTTTTTGTACTTTTATAATAAACACTGTAATTATCTTTTATTTCATTGCCTACGTGTCCTATGTTTCCATGGGAATCCATATTTCTGTATATGTATTGTTGAATTGTGTTTACTTCCATTGTTTCCTAAACATGTACGTTTTTATGTGTATGAGCCTATCTCTTTCTATATTAATAGATATCCATATAAACATTTATTCATATATAAGCTAACAATATTGTTCTTAGCGAGATCTTCATCAGGCTTTATTCTAGTATACAATGATATTTACATGGATATATGAAAATATTAAACTAGTCTAGGCAGTTTATAGAGTTAGTGATAATAATGATATAGATTGCATTACTGTATAATATAGTACAAAGTTATGAGGATCTTATTAAATGTGACATTGCTTGCTTGTATATGTTCTAATTTACAATATACCACTGAACCCAGTATTCCACCATATATATAATGGATGGCAGTAGAGTATACGATGCATGTTTCATCCTATCACAAACTAATTCATCTGATAAATTTGTATCTCAATGCTAATGCATTAAAACTTATAATGAAATTCCCTATCGAGGCAGGTAGTTTAAATTAAACATACGCTAACAAAAATCAATTAAAAATTTATATTAAACGCCCTTATGAAAAGATAATTTTCCTTTTTAAGTTTGATATACTTGTGGACCGTTGTGTAGAACTGCTTGTAAATTAGTTTGCATTGAGATTCCACAGGTCTTATTCCAACTGTAAACAATAACATGAAGGTATAGTTAAGCTATTATACTAAAACTTATTTCCAAACGATAAAATCGGTATAAGATGAGTTTATGATAGGTGATTATCACTGGGTTTATGTAACGTTCTATTAAAATAGAATGTGGCTAGTGGTGGAATCTAGGACGCGCGTTTCATCCTGTTTGGGACTCGTCAGCTGGATGTATTAACATTAAAACAATAAACATGGTTGTTTGTAACATGAAGCATGAAGTTTTTTATTAGTATATCTTCTAACACAGTCATAGTGAGGCTTCTCGTCGTCACTTATTCACGTTTACTCAAAGGGTCGTATCAAGAAAGCTATATTCATCGTTCTTAACTGTGTCAACTTGCTGAAATCAAATCATAAGTCACTTGAATAAATGTGTACATGTAAACCTGATTCCGAGTTAAATCATATAATATATGTAAGGATCTCCATGAAAAATAATATTGATTCCACTTGTATTTAACTATTAGTTACCGTGGAAGTAGAAAATTGTATTTTTTTTAAAGTCAAATTGATCAAATGAAATATATCAAATGATTTGTGTGGCGCATATATATTTGGTGCCTCCTTGTATCAATGTTTATGTGTTTAAATAAATAAAATTCTACAATGACAATCAGTATTTCTTGTTAATTTCATCTAATCATAATATTTACATTAATCCCTTTTGTTTAATTCATACATTTGCTTTTACTGGTATAAATTTTAATGCAACAACATCCTCTTTTCATCTGTTTACCCCATTAGTTGAAACCATTTAGCTTCATCCTATGTAAGAATTAAATTCTTTATGTATGCAACTCGTACAAGCTAGGTTTTTTTGCTTTATTTTAGTGTATGTTTAGACTTTTCATAAATTCTTGAATAGGTCGCTTCATTTATTTAAATAAATATCTTTTGATTGTTTGCCAATAGCGTGCATGTTTTAATGATCATCATCTATTCCCTTCCATCAATATTGTTGTAACTATCAATTTTTTTGTCTGTTCAAGCGTAAATCTATTGAATTTCTCTGCATATTTCAATTGCTTCTTATTGATCTGTAGGCTCAATTATGTCATTGGAACAAGTAATTACTCGCCTGCATGAGGAAATAAAACGTTAAACTCCTACTACCATAATTACTTCTATTCTAAGTCAATTTAGTGAGTGTGCACAATTTCGTATTCGTCAATGGTCTACTTATTCATCATTATGTAATGTAGCCGTAATCGTGGTCTCTGTTAGCTTAGTGTTATTCTGTTTATTTTTCCAACTACTTTTCACATATACTTGCATCTTGTTTTGTTTATTTATCATGGGTTTGGTTAGTTTACACTTGTGTTTAGAAGCAATTTAGTCTTTTTTCTTACTGTTATGTTATAATTGCTACTATATTTGTGATTATTTCTGCTTTCATTTTGCTGTAAATTTGTGTTGTTTCTTGGTTTGTGTTTTTTTTGCATGTACTCTGTCGTTGTCGCCATCATCATCTTTGTTATTTTTATTGTTGTTTGTATTGTTTGCTTAGCTGTGTAATTTTGATGGTTTGAAATTGTTTAACTTTTTCCCAACTTATCAATTAAGTCAATCACTTTGTTTTCACTCTTTGCAGTGCACCGCAATCAATCAAATTTATCGTTCAATCGAGGTGTAGTCAATAAATCAAGCGGTGTAAAATTTTCTTCTGTTTCTCCCACTACACAAGAAACTTATCATAGTTATTCGCAAAACTCAGCTTCTGATCTTGCTCCTAATGATATAACTAATAATAATAATGCTCTAAAATACACTGATGATGTTGCACAAACACCTAGTGTCCGACAGAGACAACAAACTGTTTCTTCATATCGTGCAACAAGTGCACATTCAAGAACATCATCAGTGACCCGTGCTAAAAGCATGTTTTCGCGGCATCATATTGATAATGTAAACACTAAACCTATTTCTGTCATTTCTCAACCTTCATTGAAAACCAATTCTGCAACACTTCATCACCATAACGAAACTCCCGATATGTATAAAGCAAATGTGTTTAATTCAGTACCTAGTCCACGATTGTTTCGAGGATTAAGATCTCGTCAACATAGTGGCTCTAATAAAATAAATTAAACAAAACATGTCCTTCATCATATAGCCTGTTTGTGACTTGTTTATCATATCAGCAAATTTTTATCGTTTTTTTTTATTTTTTATACTTTCTGATCACTTGTGTGTAACAACTATTAAAAGAACCTTTTCTTTTGTTTCATCACGTGAAAGATTTTACATTTGATGCTCTTTGTCACAGTTTTATGGTTTTCTTATTCTACGTACGATAGTTATCGACACTTACAATATTTGTAATGGTGTATATAATGTTGTTTTCTTTGAATTTTGTTTGACTTCGTGATTATTATCGTTCACAATAATAGCTTCTACTACTGGGTTCTTTTTTATGAATCGGTAATCATAATATTTAACTTTTTTGAAGTAATGCATTTGAAGGTAAATAATAAAGTAAGGGATGGTCTTTCTCGTACAGTCATGTTAGATATTTTGTGGAGGAGACTCAGAGAAGCTTAGACAACAAGAGCTGTCTACACAGACCTTCGTTAAATGTCTATTGACCAATGACCTCTCGCATATGTAGCAACGCTTCTATTGCTGAGTCATTTTACACCTCGATGTTGTGGAAAATGTGGTCCAACCTTTGTTGATCAGTTAGGTCTCTACGTTTAAAAACATCCTTCTTCATAAGATTCCGAAACATCACAAGTAAGCACACTAGGTGTGATGTACCTGTTAAAATTATGAGGTAGTGCTTTCACTACTGCGAGTAATTGTGCATGTGTGTCTGTCACGTCGTGCTCGTGGAAGTCAGCTTCTGCGTAGCAAAACCAGGTTTCTATATTATCGAGTCAGAATGGTATGAGTTGAAAAGCGAAAGGTGCCTGTCCCGTCATAGTGAAGATAAGATATACGAATGGGCGGAAATATAAAAACAGTATCTCCAATTGCAAAAATTAAAGTGATATATGATGTTGCAATAAGTAATATATTTTTCTTATTGATTGGTGTACCAGATCCCGTCAGGCTGATTAAATCTGCCACAAGTGTTCGTAGTTTGAAGCCGCGTTTACACCTATCACCTTTATACTCGAAGTGTACCGTCTGGTCAAAAATGAAGGGGTTCGAGGATACTTTTGGTAAGCTATCAATATTTTGAGAAGCGTTCGGTTTAAGCTGACTAGCGGTTGCAAGGGATGCATAATACGGTGTACCCACTCGTGATCTGGCGCGGATACGTGACAGAGCTCCTTGAACTAGGTTGTGAATATTAAGACTAATGAGATCAGTGTCGAAGACGTACGGAACTACCTATTTTAGTGACTCATTTACCGATACAACTCCTTTTAGTAGGTGCCTAGGTGACATTTGTTCAGACAGACTACGAAATTTAATGTTTATGTACTTGAAAAGTGTTAACTTGAGTAAATCATTGTTTCATTGAATTAGTGTAGATGGAAAATTTTGAATGATAAAACAGGTGAATTTCATATGTTCTGCTTTTCATTTAGAAGCAGATAGTCATAATCCTGAAGTTACTCGTAAAGAGATTTGAACTTGACGCCTACAGTTATTCTTCTTGCATCTCGGAGAAGTAATAATAACAAGATGTTCACATACCGAGGGACAACTTATTTGGTAAAACATGCTGGCGAAGACACTCATGCAGAAAATATAGTTGTTCTCGAGTGGAAGCTCATAATAATCTGAATTATTGCGAGCTGTTTGTAGCTCATGTTCTACAGGTTTAAAAACTCCTGATTAGTATTCGTGTATTATGTTTTCTTATTCATAAATGTGACAGCACTAAACTGTTCTTTCATATTTATTGATCAGCTATTTATCTTTATCACCTCTAAACCACATATCCTCTGACCATTATCTTTTTTCCCAACTAATGCTTATGTAACGGAAAAAACGCTGGAAGTACCTACACAGCATTTTGTTGGACAGTGCTGTCATCTATTTGTCTTTTCTCTCTGTTGTGTGTTTTAACATTTATTCAGATCTCCTTTGACCACACTGTATTCTTCAGTCTTCCTCGTCTGAGCTTTTGTTATGTGGCTTTCACTAAAGACTGACCCTTTGTTGCCTCATTTTTCTAATTCATGTTCACGGACTATTGACAAGTAGGCCGTGCTTTTTACTAGGTCTTGTTCAATGTGTGATAGTTAACCTTTGACTGTCTGCTTGGAAAACGTAGTCTGGTCTAATCAAACAAATTTCGGTTCTTTAGTTCTGCGTTCAAACCGAATACTGTCAGTTCGGTCGTTACGGCTTCTCTAATTTACTCAAGTTGAAGGGAATGCAATGGGATTTCACTCGCAAAAATGCCTAAAACCCATTCACATGTATACGATTTCGGGGTAAAGTATCTACGGTCGAATTTGAAAAATACAGATCGGGGAAACTTCATGATCAAGTATGCGTCAATATGTAACAGTCTTCCCTCTGAAATACTCATGAAAGATGAACTACATACGTTTGTCAGACTTCTTGATGAAGCCCTCTCTTGCACTGATCTAGTACAAGGGAACTTATCTACGCCGTACTCAGATATCGCAGGCTCTCTACCATGTCAGACTCTTAGTTTAGTTTCCCTCAAGTTTCTTCTTTGCAGTGGTACTAGATATGTTTCCGTGCTATACATCTCTTCTTAGTTTTTGCTTGAAGTAGGCCGGTAACTCACCGGACCTATCGGTGCTGCTCAACTATAGTCGATCTTAAGGGACGTTCACTACTACCCTAAAGAATCATAAAGAGGACCTCACTGCCAGCCATCTTGCATCTGTAGGGCCTATAACACATCAACCGGTTAGGACAGCACAAAGGACCATCGGTACCAGGTAATGTGAAATTCTTCTCGTTCATTTTTCATCAGCTTTTAACTCTTATGTATACTATGTTGAAATACCATCAGTATAATTTAATCACCCACTACCTTATCGATAATTATTATATCCCTGCACTTTACCGCCTACTTCTTTTAACACTTTTCCTGCATAACACTCTTCCCAATGCTTATACCTTGTTTGGCAACCTACACTTTATACTACAGTTGTTTAAAGCAGTCTAAAATTTGTAGCTATTTTATAAGCTTATAAAATGATATTAATGAAAATAATGTTTTCCAACGAAGTGTGAAACACAGAGCATCGTGGAAAATATAACATTTATCTAAAAATGAGCGCAACTCAACTCATTGTCCTTTATTACTTTGATCCATTATCTGAAGATTCTCACCACATTCCACTCTAGCAACACAGCTAGTATGAGTTTCATCTGCCAATTTATAATACCTTTGTCCGCTAACCAATAAACTGCTAAGCATAGTTTAGGGTTTATATCCAAGTGCTTCGGTGCCTCTCTAACAACTTACGTTGATTAGTTAAGAATTGACGTCAAACAAATAGGTATATCTCAGAACAAAAGAGCTCAAGAATTCATTTACTTCCTTATCTTGCCTAATCATTATATTTCCTATTATCTTATTTTGGATGTTGAAAAGCTTTTTGTGTTAGAACAGGTAATCTCTCGCAACATTGTGTACTGTCCCACGATCTAAATAGACAACTATTCATGACTAGTTTGGTTTCTTCTATCAACAGGACGAGGGTTACATACAGGCATGAAACCCCGTCTTTTTCTCTTTTTCCAGCATCACATTCTCAGGGCACGGCTATGGAGCTTCTGATGCCTGAGACAAACTCAACAGACGATTTTGCAAGGTCACAGTACATATTAGGTGCCCTTTAGATTTACTTTACAACAACTGTTAACTCCTAAAAAAGTTGTATTGCATAAATACCTAGCATGAACAGAATTCCTACATAATTATGGCGAGTTTGAACCTGAGTGGACGCGATCACACTTTCGAAAAATACTACAAAAACAGAACTCAGTACAATACCAAAACATTAACTCCTTGAAACATCCGGAATGTACTGTCTTTTATTTTTATTAACTTAATTTATTTTACAATTCTACTTGGGAAGTGTGCTATAAACAAACCATTGTTGAACACGCAGATCGTGCCTGTAAAAATGGTGTATGCCTGCCCTCGTAGACATATATTACATTATAACTTATATGATTAGCCAAATTCATAATAGTGTTATATGTTATATGGATATCTAACCCACAATACAATTGCTTTAACTGTCTGATTTCCTCGTATTCCAACAAGATGTGCGACATATAGCCATATATATAGCTATATATATTCATACATAGAACTGACGTAAGATAACCTTACATCACAAAAGGAAGGAGGTTGGTTTTACTGACCAGCAATCATGTTGGTGTGGAAATTACCTCAGTCCACCCTTGTCTGTCGGCCGGAATATTCTATCAAATTACCTCTCTTTATGGTCTAGCTCAATGCAACTAATCAATGTTAATGGTGCTAATATTTTATCCCAAAAACCTCTTTGACTGATGTCTGCAACCTTGAATCGGTTTCAATTCCTGTCGAGAAATCCTACTACAAGCAAAACTAGGCAAATGCTCTAAATAGGATTCCACACATGACTCTACAAAATCATAAAAATATAAAGGAATTATAATGATTTTGACGAAAAATAGACATTTATGTTTCCGAGCATTGTTGGCGCGAAAATTTCCCCCGATCGTTACTCCCTGCCGCAGAATCACGATTTGACAGCCACCTTGAATGATGTGACACTTTTCTGAAAACTATTCTGATTAAAGCATGAACCAAATTTCAATAGTTTTAATCGATACTACGAAAACGATTATCATCTCTCCCTTCGGACTTTACGAAGTTCCTCTGTCCGTTTTGAAAATGCTGCAAAACTTTTCGGAGATTCGTTGATGACATCTTTGTAGGTTTCAACTTCGTACATGCATATGCAGGTGACTATTTGACAGAGAATTGCATTTCTAGCATTCGGATTTTTATTTGAAAGATTGCGAACATCCAGAAATGTCAAGTCGGATCAGACTACATGGATTTTCTCGGAAACACAATTGATGCTCAAGATATCTGCCCTCTGAAAACCGAAGTGTTAGTGGTTCCGGACTACCCAGAGCAGACCATAACT